ATTAACTTTTATATTTTCTTCTACAAGCAATTGTTTATATTAACATAATTTTAATTAAAACTATAATATATTGCAACATTAACATAATGTTTTGTAGTTCAAAAATATTCAACTTTGTACTTCTGGCAAATTATTTTACTTAAACTAAAAAATATCAGACATAGATTTAAATAGACGATGCACATGAAATCATTTTGTAATTTCAAGGGTCGGATGACTCTATGTTTACTGCTATAATCTTCGGAGTTTTATCAGTATCACTTTAAAACCAGAAAAACGATAATTAAGCCGAATGTAGGCAGGCTTAAGAGATACATAAAAAATCATTATAAATAGATTGTATTTTTGTATAGAATTCAATTTACTATAAATAAATGGCCTTGGTAATCAAGCCTGAGTATTAAATTGTTTCCATAAATCCTTTAAGATTTATGTGAATGTTTATAAAACCAATTTTAATACGAGTTACTGTATAATATATTTCTTTTTAACAAAAATGCTATAACATATGGCGGTGGTCACTACGTTCTCCGTAATTCAGTTCTTCTTAGCTTTTCGTGCTAAGCACTTCAAACTTATGGTAAATTTGGCATATGAAAAGTGTAATAGACCTAATCAATAAAGGTATTTTGATGAGATTGATAGTAACTCCCATTCAAAATTTAAAATGTGCAATGTTTATAATGTTACTTTCATTATGTAAATTGAGTTAAAATAGATGCAAATCATCTATTTATATCTATGTCTATGAAAATAAAATTAATGTGAGTCCAATATAGAGACAATAAAAATACAACAATTGATGTTTATCTAAAAACTACATACAGTCAAATATTGACCTATTATTTCAGTGTGTAACTTAGTAAAAAATCCTTCTAATTTTTCTATTTATTAATTATCATGAATACTACAGCTATAGACATATAAATATTGTAACGGTTGGATTATAAAAATATTATATAGTTTTATAACCTGATAGGTCGTAATATTGAAGTAATTTGTTCTAATGAATTTAACAAAAATTGTTTTTCTGAATTGCACCTATAAGTTACCTATATTTGTAAACAATGCACGTAAATAACTAAAGTGTTTTTTTAAACAAATCACGAATTAAATTGTATTCATAAATTTTAGTACATATACAAGAGGTTCGTTTTAATAACATCCAAAATGTTACATTATAAGATAAATTTTGTTACTATACTTTTTTTTGAAAATTGAATAGTGTCACCTAATGTATAAGCAATGTGGTAGATATACATGTGTATATATCTAAATTATATAAATTTATGATATTGAAATTATACAATATAAAGCAATATATTAAAACAGATTATTATTAGAATTAGGTAATTATGATATTAGTAATAATTCTAGTTAATCGTAAGGATATTGAATAATGCATGTACCTATGTAGAAGTCTTTATAAGGGATCACAGTTTGGAAAACACTAGTTCGATACATCGGGGACAATATATCTACAACTAATTTCTTTAAGAAGTACGTGTAATATTAATATTCTAATGTATAATAATTACAACTATACTTACAATTATTTTAGTGTAATATATATGTGTTAATAAATAATAAATACATGTTTGAAAAGCAAATAAAATATGATGAATGACTAGAAAAATAATGTAATAAAACCCGCCATTTATTTGTACCTATTCTTAATAATTCTTGAAAATTTATTATAAAAATGTTTGAATTCAATAATTCCTTTACAGAACTATGAATGTTTATTAAAAAAGATAGTGGTAAAGTTCAGGTAATTGATGGTATTGAGTCGCGTTATAATACAGCATTTATTGTACATACAGATGAAGTAACCATATTCTATTAAACATTAAGTTCTGTATGTTAGTCTATTTAATATATTTTGGTAGGTGAAGTAAACTAGACATTTTTTTTCAATGTATTTATACTTGAAATAGAATAATATTATCTTCATAGAGTTTCATTGAATACGACACTCAAAAGGTATTACGAAGATATTGTGTGATTTTCAGTACAGAGTTTAAATCGGCTTAGATCTCTATAATCGGTTTCTTTTGCCGCAACTCTAGTTTTACCCTTTATTTCTGAATTTGACAGTATCATGTCTCTGAATTATTTCATAGTTTGTGAGTTAAGCATTATAATATTGTATTCTATAAATTAAAATATCATTATGTATTCAGTGATAGTGGACAATGTTACTGAAGAAGCAAGGCGGAAAATATTTTTTTTAATATTCACATAAACTGCATGAATACGTGATCAATCGAATTTTTGTAAATTTCAAAAAACTAAGTATATATAATTTTCAGATTGATACTTAGTTTCTTGCTGAGTATTCTATTTATTCGGCTTTGTTATATTATAATAATATAACAATAACCGGCTAAATACCCCTGATTACCTCAAACGGAATTATAGTCGTTACTGTATTTTTAATTTGTTGTTTTATGTTTCCACAAAAAAATAAAAGGTTACAAATATATTGAATGATTACAAAGTAAAATTTAATACATCAGATTAAGTGCCATACTTATTTGTATTATTAATGTTGTAGTTAAGTAAGTACCTACACCATTACCGTACTATTAATTCTACTTAAGACTATTTAGAATATATCTATCTTAAATAAGAGTGAACAATATTACGGTAGACTAACATAAACAGGGACCAGTTTCTATATGTTATAAAATTATAAGTTTTAGCTTTTTTATTAATTTACTTATTAGCCACACACAACCACCCTTGCCCTCTTAATTATAGTAAAATAGATATTTGGAGAATAATTATTAACATTCCAAACATGTTCTTACTAGAGTAGAAACGTTACAATGTAAGATTTATAATAGAATTTGGATTAGATAGTCAGCCGTTGAACATGCACTAATTCGGTAATAGGTATTAATAACCTCAGCGAGAGGGGCTTATTAAACTAAGAGTTACACAAAGGAAATCTTATTATGATTCGCATTACTAGACCAAAACTTACTAAATAAATAACAAATGATTCTATTTGTAAATTTAATTACGATCCGCATGACATTTAAGAAAGAAAGTCATTCTTTCATCTGTACCGTTCTTTTTCCTGTCTTCAGGACACGAAAGGGTTTTATTAATGATATTTTAAATATTAAATATACAAACAGTGGCCTATTTTTGTTTGTTATTGTTAATACAGAAACATTAAGGCATAAACCGTAATGGATTATAACAGACTGTTTTTGCATATAAAAGATTATATATACGAATTGCATTGCAATTGTATGTGGTCAAAACCGCTATGTGATTTGTGTTGTAAAGATTAAATGAAAATATTTTTGGTGTACTTAAATTTTCTATTTATACTATATGCAGTATCAATATATACTAGTTTACAAAAAATAAGTCTATTAACTAAGACCAAATTACGAATCCCCAACAAGAGATTGTACACAAAATGTAGAACATTTTTAAAGTGTAAAATAAAGCTTATCAATGAATATATAATATAGGATTCAAGGATGCTCTTCCCAATTGAATCGGCCTTGATGGTAAAGTTAAAAAATAATATAAAATAGTTACGTCCTTCGGGTGATTGAAAGGTCCATTGTGAATTAATACTTTTTAGTTTAACCTTCAATAAATAATTGTATGTTATTAATGTATAGTAAAAGCAACGTACGTTAATGTCTTAGTATTTTCATAAACTATCATAGAATATTCATTAACGACAGTAGTTGTTATACTGGTACGTCAGTGGATGACAGGTGATCTAATTCGCAAGCTTTGACCTATATTTTCTTTCATTAAAACGTTTGAAATTATCGGCAAATGGAATTGTTTGCCATTTATAAAAACAAGGAAATAGACTATATTATATATTTGTATAAAATATATAGGTTACGGTTTTAACAATATATGGCAGATAATTTTATTATTGACCACAACAAAGTGGTACGATATGTATATATTGAGAATGTTAATGGATATCACAAAGAGGTGATTTTATAATTTATTATTTTGACATATAATTTCACTTACATTATATGCGAGCAATTAACCTATTTAAAAAGGTATTTTTTATTGAAATATGTAACATAATATTGCTCGTAATTATTAGCAAAAGTTTAATAGATATTATTAAAAATGAATCAGATTTACACGCCTAATTACTTTTAAATTCGTAAATAGATCTCTCAAAATATTAATTTTGATTTAGTTAGAATAATTTTAATGTTATTATTGAAATTACTTAGAAACTGGTTCCCTGAGAGTAGAAGCTACATCTAGAAGATCACATTGCGTATAGGCTGGAGATTTAAGAATACGTTTTAAGTATATATTTATAATCACATAGACATTCGAAACCTAAAGTTATGTATATAATGACCATTGTATACATTTATGTATAGATAAGTAAAGAATATAATGAAAAAAAAATATTCAGTAATTTTGTACTTCAAACAAAATAATTATAGATACAATCATGTAAGATAAAAAATCCATGTCTATTATTGTTATAAGAGAAGATAAAACATTTTGATATAAATTATACATTTACTAGAAAATTATTATAAAGGAGAACATGTTATATTTTAGAAATAAATTTAATATATATTAGATATAATAATTTGTAGGAATCGCAATAAAACAATCAGTAATTTTGAAACACAGTGATCGTTAGCAACTGAGATTAAATTTCGAAACGTTTCTTTATATGTACGTTTATTATTATGTTTTATTAAAATTATACAATACCTTCAACAAAATATACACAAAAGCGATCGATAAACCGATAAAAATAATAACGATAATTAATGCCTAAGCGATATTGAAACCCAATAGGATAATTTGAGACCCGCTCATTAAAATAATTAAACCTCATAAAATTTTACAATGCAGAGACAAAATATAAACGTGTTTTGCCGCGTAATCATTCTAGTGAAGTAGACGCCGCAAAATAATATTTTTACAATATCACGAGTAACATAATAAATTCAAATAAATATTTTTAATATTATTCATCTCTTCATTCCACCATGTGTTCTGTAAACGAAAAAGAAATAATCGGTAATAACGTATAACATTAATTTTAAAAAATATACAAGAGCATTGTTGTTAAAGAACTCACCTTGTTCTTCAACTGGTGTGTGTTCTTCATCTGAAGAATCGAACCTACTCTCAATTAGGGAGCTTTGTTTTGATAATGACTGCAAGAAATAAATAAAATAGTTATATAATACAGTTGAATATATTATTGTTTTTAATACATTTAAACACATACTTATAATATTTAAATGCTCATTGATTGTATACATACTTATGATGTTACTTATGTATCAGATATACATAAAAACATCGTAAGTATCTATGGACACTTCTTATATTTTTTCAATTAAGTAATTAATAAATGGAGAGTTATGTTAATAGAATTGCTAATTCATTTTGATAAAAATGAACTTTTACAATCGAAAAATTTATAATAAAATTTCTAATATTTTATATTTGTACCTACAAATATAAAATATTAGAATTTTGCCTAATAACATATAAATAGGTACAGGAAGATACTTAAATTTCTATAAATAGGTATTTAAACCTGAGAATAAGTTCGTAATTACAAAAGAATATACTCATATTACCTTGTTGGAGCGTCGTCTCGGTGGAGATATCTTATTCCACAAGGCTTCTAGTTGATCGAAGTGCTGTGATTGTGCTATTGCCGCTTCCTCCGGTCCCAAGCTTACCTTTTGTACAAATAACTTTATCTATAACTAGGATATCCGGCTTCACACAGGTGTTTATATTCATAGGCTCCCTAATATTTTTTATATGAAATATAACCTATACCTATAATTACTCGTTGATAATATAGTTTTCTAAAGATGGTGGAATTTTTAAAATGGTAAATTTATTCAATATTATTATTTTTACAATATTTGATTGTATGTTTTATCAAGAACGTGAGACTGTTATAACTTTATTATTATTTCATCTAAGGATAATAAGAATCTAAGTGACCCAAGGTAAGGTACCTAAATGGTAAATAATAGTAACGATAGCTCTATTGGTCGCTACAACACAAGTAAGGTAGGAAGAGAGATGGGATCCTTCCCTCTAATCTGATATCCAATGGCTATCAACTTTAATCACAGCTTATGATCTAACTCTGAGCATTCTCTCATCTATATGTTCATTTATAGTTATGAGTTTTTCGGATTCATCCTTGTGATTGCACTATTATGCATATAGAAGATCGTACAAAGTTACGATGTGACATATATACAGACAAACAAAGATACAAATTATAAATCTATGCATATATAAGAACTCTGTTTCAGTATTTGAAATTTCTAAATATAAAAGAAGTATATGTTTATAATTAGTAGTAAATTTCAGTTGGTTGAGGAATCACATGGAGTCCAGTCCCGAAAAAATGATTAGCTCAGGACGCCATGTTATTGTAACAGAATATGAGAAAATCTATATTTAGTAGTGAACTGTGATGTGCTAATATGATGACGGTGGTTGAAAATGGAATATGACCACCTACCTGTGACCCCAGATCCTTATTTTTCGCCTCTTGTATCTTTGAAATTTCCTCCATGGAAGCCGATACGGAGAATCTAGAAATACAATAGTAAATGGAATAAGGCAATTCCTAGAGGCATTGCCAACTTGCCAACAATACATTTTGTTCTAATTATTTGAATTCAACATTGCAGAAGGCGAGCCTCCTACCGTTTCTCGGATTAGTTTGGTTTATTATTGATTTTTTTCTCATCGGAGAGCCAGTAACAATTAAAAATTTACACTCAAAGGGTTTTGGTTTCAGCGAGAGGCTCACGAACTTTCGGCCTATATCGAGATAGTAAACATACAAATATTAAAAGAACGAAGTAGTAAAATTTGAACAGTATAACATAGCTTTATGGATGATGAAGATTCGTGTTATATTTGTGACATTGCTGTTTGTAGTTGTTTATACAATAACAATATAATCTGTGCCTAAAATTGTAAATACAAGATTATACACGTATACATACTAACATTTTTACTAATAACGACAATATTTACACTTTAAAATTATATAATATATATATATATATATATATAGTATATATATTGTTTTAAATAACATAAAATAAGTTTTATATAGCTGTCATTTCCGTTTTTAAATATTTTATAAATATTATTATTTTTGTATATGTATAAATACATAAATGGTTTTCTTATAGTATTTATATGGTACTAACAATAAATATAAATGAAAAACACAAAGTAACAATTGAAATAAATTAAACTAAATTTTGTACAATTTTTGCTTTTTTGATAAGGAAAAAAATGCTATAAATAATTAAATATATAAAACATTGTGTAATTACATACCTTCTCTTCAAACGTTCATCGACCTGCGCCATCATGGCAGCAGATGTTAGGTGACCATATTTCTTCTGCCACGTGTATGTATCCAATGACACTTCTTTCTTGAGGAGCCTCCTCATTGGTCTCTTTGGAGCCAACGGACGAAGTTCTGAATATAAAAGAGTCAGTTTCAGTGTAATGATTATATTGATTGACTGATTTTATATTATATTTGTCGAGAGATAATATTATTACCATCTGCAGCTTTCGTAGGTGCAGCATATGTTGGTATCTTGACGTATGTAGCAGGGGTATTGTGAAGGCATATAATTGGCAGGCAACCTGCAGAAATTAAAAACTATATGTAATTAACTACAAATCTATACATTAATACGTGAAGGAAATACGTTGTACCTCATTGTATGAGGTACTACTTACGTACTCAACTAATACAACTTAGAAAACAAGCTGTTAAGTAGCTTGTTTTGTAGGTAGTATGCAGTGTTAATGTATCGGAAAGAGCTATTACTGGATGTAATAATATAACTTACCTCTGTCCAAGAGATGTACAACAATACGAGCGCAATCACTTGTAATCTGGAAGCCCAGTATAGGCACGTGCAATGCAAGCGATGTCAACGCCAGGCCTCGTTTGGTCTCCCAGATTATGAGCGTCTTATCTTCCGCGCCTTCACAGAAACAATAGAGATTAAAATGTAATTACGACGTTATTTAATTAATTTTAAATTAAACGTTGAAATAATGTGCTGGAAACAATGTGATAAAATTCATATTGGAGAATTAAATTATGATGGGCGGTGAGCCAAACAAATCAGGAAATCAAATAAACTGCCCGGACAGATGAAATACGTGCGTGATGAGGTCAAGTTTAATACTAAATGTGATTTGTTTGTTTTTTTTTCTATTTTTATCACTCACAACGCACATGCAAGTGCTCATAAATCAATCCATTATTACTTGCAGTTGTGATAGGAATAGAATGTATTACGTTTAGAGATTTAAAGTCTCATTAATTTAATTATGAGATTGATTGCCACTCACACTAGAAGAAAAACTTACTACTATAATAAATATAGCGCAATCCATATTAATAATGTAAATTCCAGAGTGTATCTGTCTGTTATTACCTTTTCACGGCTGAACGCTTCAACGGATCTTAATGATATTTAATATGAAGATAGGTTCTATCACGAGGATATACATACTTTATCTTAAAAAAGCAGACAAAGTCGAAGGTAACACAATCCAGAGAGTACTTATTAAAATTAAACAAACAATAAACAAACATATTTTTAATGACTTGTACAAAGACTGATAAGTTTTAAATATATATCGATATAAACGGATATACATATACTATATTTTATCTTAAAACAGCAGACAAAGTATCAGGTAACACTTAGTAAATTATACACTGTAGTAATTGGAAAACAATTCAGAGAGTGATCATTGAAACTAAAAATATTCATGAATTGGAGAAACTAAGATTGATGACCTATAAAAACGCTCGATGTTTACGATAAATTCCTTCTACATTCGATTCTCTCTACCTTAGCTGTAAAGAATCTTGAATATGGCTTCATTATTATAATATCACTTACCTGATACAGCTATAGTGCCGTCACCTGTCACTTTAACGCACGTGACTTTCCCCAAGTGTCCAGACAGTAGATGCAGATCAGACCCCGTGTTGATGTCCCACACTATCAGGTTGCAGTCCCACGAACCCGATACCACTTGAGTCTTATTCGTGATAGAGACTGCAACGCATGTCACTATGTCTGAATGACCGACGAGAACCTTTAGGAAGAAAATGAATAGTAAATCAACATTGCCTTCTCTTTATTCCTTTATCATCTTCTTCTACCGGTACCGGCCTTCATAGCTAAGCTTAATCTCTTATATGTATATCAACTTTCATTCAGTCCATATATATTTTGTTCGGTCGTCCTCTCCCAGTTACATTCATCCGTGTTCAGTTTTATCCATATATGTATGCATCCATGACAATCTGTTACTTAGTAACTTTTCTCTAGTAAGTACATATACTATATAAATATATTATTCTATACTAAATATTACTTTTTACAGTTAATATGTAGTCTATGTGATTCATATATACTTATATATAGTTATGATATTATACCGTAGTAAAACTATAGACAGAATGACGACTACTCATATATATATAGACCTATATCCGTGCCATTTATACTATTAAATATTACGTGCACAGATGTCAGGCCTACACAAGTTTCCCAATGGAATAGACATAAGACTTATAATGTTCTATATTTCTATTTCAAAACGAACCTACGTAAAAAGAGTTGTCACGGTTAATGTGAAAAGGTCATTTGACCTGAAAAGGTCAAATGACCTTTTATTCACTTAGACCATTACTTCACTTGCTTTACTTCATTCATCTTCCTATACAAATCATCAAACTATTGTCCTAAGATGACGTAATGAAAAGTGAGATATGTAATCTCACTCTTCTCTTAATCATTACTTCTTTTTTCTTTCCACTTTTACGTCGTCTTTTAGGGACTAAAAATTAAGGCTATATTTTTTCAATCGCGATAATGATACATGAAGATTGAATCAACCTTTAGATGTTGTTCAAAACTACAAACCTGTGATAACTTGCCACCGTCCAGTTTCCAGACCTTGAGTGACATGTCCATAGATCCGGTGACAACATGTTGCGAGTCAGCTGTGAGGGCGAAACACGTGATTCTCTCAGCGTGGGAGACAGAGCGTTTGTCTTCTCCACTATCGCCGATTAGGGTCCAAATGCGTACCGAATTGTCACCATCGGATAGTACCTGTTAGTATGTTTAAAGTCTTAAAACAAAATAAATTCTCCTACTGTTTTTTTTTAAAAAGACGACCGATACAGCCGATAGAATCATTTAGATCATCATCTTTGAATTTGACCGTCATATAACTTCTTATATTCTGATTATAGTACTGTATTAGACGTTCCATCATAAGAAAATTATTTAGCTTGGCAATTACCATGTTGGCAAAAAATTTCGAGTAGAGATTAATTTTGTTTTTATTTTGGTTTGCCTATATTAATAATTTTACAGTTCTGTGTATTCCATTGTACAATTCTTTTATTGATTTAGTATTTTAATATTTTGTATTAAAAGTAACTACCTATTTAGCTTATCAAAGTGTTCAACCAAAAATAATTGACTGTATTTAACATAGATTTAATAATGAGTGTAAGGGAAGTTGAAGGTAATGATTTAAAGAATTTGATAAGCTACTTATACTATATTTATTAGAACAACATATACTTAAAAGAGAAACACGCAAGTTTCTTGCTTATTCTTCTTGTAATGAGTCTGCGGTCCGAACGAGTAGTAAAGAAAAAAAATATGACTATTCAATGTGCTTAAGTTTATTTAAATAAACTAACGTTTAATTTTAATAAATAAGGAACTTAACTAACTAAAATTTGACAGCCTCCGTGGTCTAGCAATTTAGCACCCTTACTTCCGATGAGCGCGGGTTCGATTCCCCGGATAATACAATTTGTAAGTATGATTTATATTGGTCTGGGTATTTTCTATGTACATTATGTTACAAAAAAATGTATTTATTTATATCAGTTGTCCAGTACCCACAACACAAACTCTGCTTAGCTTGGGGCTAGACGACGCTGTGAATTGTCCAAGCATAATATGATAATTATTTCTATTTCTATAAACTTACAGAGTATTTCATGTTTAGCGTAATGTCGAGACTGGCACTAGGACCAGTGGTGGAATGTAGGACTATGCCAGAGTCTACGAGCCATACATGTACGTTACGGGCACGGTCGCCGGACATAGCACGCCGCCCGTCGGACATCATCAAAAGGGACTGCAGTGCAGCCGAATGTCCCTATACGAAAACAAATAATAATATTTATAAATTTATTAAGCCACAATCATATATATGTCTTAAATATTTTTTATAAACAATTTGTTTTTCAGTTCCCAGCTTATACAATCAGTATAAGCTGGGAACTGAACTAAGTTTGATCAGAACTGACCCCTCGGTTGTGCGGTTCTACATAGGTTTTTAAAATAAGATACACTACACACATTACAATTTACAACACTTTACTTCATCTGTTTACATTTAAGATATAAACAAATGAAGTAAAGTGTTGTTTGGCCTTAACAACAACAATTATAAAATTTTCTTTGATTCATCATACACAAATTTCACTTCACTCATCGCTTCACTGAAGGCACTCGTATCACTTGTCAAATATAAAGTTCCTACGTAGATATCGAGTTTGCTTTTATTTCTAAAAAAATCATGTACCTGTTTTACCTCCATCCTGCCCTAGAGCGTGTGGCATTGTTGTCGCTATCGAGTTTTACAGAAAACCAATGTACAATCTCACCGCAGTTTCCGCTTTCGAATTCGTAAGTGATGCTTACAGAACAGATCTCACAACACGTGTCAAGTTATGAATCTAATGAACGAACTTGCAGTCAAAAGAAATGAAAATTTTACAATTCAAAAGTTCAGCGCTAAAAATTGACTATCTACACTATTGAATAGACTTAATGCTAAGGAAAGGTATATGACAAAATATAATGAAAAATTAAAAGTAAAAGATACAGGTAATGATTGAATTATGAACATAAAAATTACCTTATAAGTTAACGTGGGTGAATTATCAGCAAGCTGCCACACGACTACCTTTCGGTCTTCTGAACCACTGAGTACTAGCAGGTTATTTGGCGAAAAGGTAACACATGTTATGTGCCCCAAGTGGCCATTGAGGGTGGTCTGTAGTCTATGGGTTGAGAGTTGCCACACTCGGACTAGCCCCCGGGCGCATCCACTGGCAGCTAGTTGCCCATCTCGAGACACTTCCAAACAGCTGATTGGTATTAATTCACTTTGTTCAGCCTATGTAATAATCAAGATATTTTTATTAATTTTGAGACTTAGAGATGCATATTTCTGTAAAGTTATCCTACCTAAGTATTTGTTTACACAGTGACGAATTTAAAGGAATTGTTTTTATTACTGCATAATCAATTGTTTATATTATTCTTTCTAATGGATGATGTAAGTTTACTCACACTGCGCTAACGGGGCATCAGTGAAGGATTATAAGATGACCACGAGATCAGGTCAGTTAGCCCATCGTGATTGCGACGGTTTCTAGGGGGAACCGCGTGGGGGTCATCAACCGCGTGGGGGTCATCATTGTACATTGCTAAGGATCTGTCGTCCACATTACTAATAATACCCTTCCTCCTAATGTATATCATATTTATATTTGGGGAAAAATAAAGTCACAGAAATACCTGTTTTATCTGCAGGTGCTTTAAATACTGTCTACGCTTATTAAGTCCTGTATAAACATAGTATCCGTGATATTGAAAAGAGGGGCGATAGTAACAGACAAGGGGGCGATCCCCTCTTCTATTAATATAACTGTACGCTACAATTTCTACGACATACGATATATACGTAATGCATATAAAAAAAAGTAATTTAAAGTACCTATATATTTACCTGTAGTAGCGTGATGTTCGTTGTAGATTTCGTTTGCCGTCGCTTCACTTGTTTCGTGGGCCTAAAGTTTGTCAAGTTGTCCTCCGTGTGAAATGAATAGATAGTCACTCTATTGCCGCCTAAAAATAATGTCAATTATTATTTTCATTGTTATATTGTTATAAAGTGTCAGATGTGGTTGCTTGTACAACTATTTCATATTTATTATATTATTATTGTTAAATATGCTACTAGGGCCTGTATTTATATCCCGGTTTGTTATTATAATAAAATACTTTATTATAATAAAAGAAAATTGCAGTCATAAATAGTATAAATAATAGTATAAAATAATTATTAATTAGGAGTATAATATATATTAGGAGTATATACATTCAGTTCCATTATTCTTTTTCAAGTAGTGGTTTATGATTGGATTATCACCTATATATAATTACTCTGTAGTATATATATATTAATACGTAAAGCAAAAACGTTGTACCCCTGTTTACGAATATAGCACGTACTGTTGTTGATTATATAGAGAAAGAAGCGTGCCAAGATTTAATTTAATTAAAATACATTAACTCTTTAAAAAATTACAGCCCCTACCATGTATTTGATACACACGCGCATACTTACCTATTTGTTTTATTAAAGTCTGTGGTTAAATTGAGGATAGATTAATATTGTTTGTCTTGTCTAATATTGATAAAATTAGAGTAAAAATTAAACTATTGACGTTAATTTGAATGAAATATTACCAGCAGCTAATAGAAAGTGATCCCTGTCAGCAACAGCCAACGCAGCGAGATCGTGAGCAGCTGCCAACGTACGCAGAAGTTGTCCATCATGCAAACTGTACACGTAGATACGTTGGTCAGCGCAACCAACTGCTGCCCGGGATGAGTCGTGGGCCACGCAGAAACATTTTACCTACAATAAACCCAGAAAAATTCACATAACGTCATCTTGTCCCAAGCTAAGCAGAGTTTGCGTTATGGGTACAAGTCAACTAAAATGAATACTATTGTTTTTGTAAGTACATACATACATATGATACATAGGAAACACCAGACCAATACAAACAATCATACTTATTAATACTTATGTTTGTACTATGCGAGGAATAGAATCGACGACCCCCGGAAGTAAGGCGATATGGTAAATCGATAGATCACCGAAGCCGTCTATATAATAATGCATTATTGGAACTGAGTACAATATTTAAAACAAAGAGTATACACTCTTACTTACCACTATTTAGTATATACATACTAAATGGTGATAAGTTAAATAAACCACTGTGAATTTATTATGTTCATAACGGGTATTACAATTTTTTTTATATAATACAGTATATGATCCTGTTAATTCGTTGCTGTGGCTTAGGAGTCATAATATTGAGGTCAATAAAAAACTTACACAACATATATATAAATATCTATACTAATATTACAAAGAGAATGTTCAGAATAATTGCCGTTATCTAATTTTGAAAAATCTTTTAGAGTTGTGTTTTTTTAATTCTTTTTGTGCAGTAAGGGCTTATCCATTGTATCCAGAATGACTATAGGTTATAAAAGGACATGTTATATCCAATAAGAGCGCAACTGCAATGATAAATATTGCAAAAATGGAGAAAACGTGACGCAAAAGAAGTTTCGCGGGTCACTTATTATTATATAAAACTCTCTCGTAGCGTCTGGCTGTCTGGTCGCGATAATCTCGAAACCACTACTACTGAACTGATTTTCATGCGATTTTTATCCATCTTGCTTAGAAATCATTTATTAATTATAGTGATTCCTAACAAGATTAAGATGTACCTAAAGGACGATAAGGTTTTGTGTAAATTAATTGAAAAATGCGTGTTAAGCCGGATTGGGTCACAAGTCATCTAATAAGATCATTCGTAATCCCTATCCAGCTTTTATGACTCCACTGGTCTTTACACTCGTCTGAGTAGCCATGATTCAACGAGGTAAGAATTGGTAACTTCACCTTCTATCTTAACCTAATAGCCTTCTCCATTCCATTTCAAACCAATCGCCATGGAATTTGGCATGTACTCAAAATGCCAAATTTCTTGATAATTAGTTAAACCGTTCAGGCTAGGAAGCATGACAAACAAAATCATTATCCATTAGATAGGGCACATATTAGATAGGGCGATGATGATATTTATTTGATCCTATTTATATGTTAGTACTTAATGATGTGGCTTCAATAGCTGATTGGTACTCACTTTGCATGAATTGCACATTTTGAGACTTTGCTAAAACAGCATAGTCATGATCTGTTGAATTTTCATTATAATCAATATTCCCGTTAGGATTGTAGTTCTATGGAGTAATGTATATCTTCTCTTGATTATATCTCTTCCCCTTTATCTATGTATCCATTATATTTAATAATTTAATATAATTGTTTACAAGCAATACTTTTTTTATTACTTTCAACAAATCTACTTAATTGTTAATTACGTGTTTAGATATTTTCATAGTAATTATGGCGTTACTGCCTAATAATTTGGAATACCCTTGAGGCAGAAGTATAATTATGTTGAATTATTTTACAAAATAAATTAAAAAAATATAATGTCACCATATAACACAACTGGCCTAAAATATTTACAATACAACCAAGCACTATAAAAATGCAATCCCTTTCCAACATAAATATTTTAGCGATACCAACAAAAAAAATATTTATTATAATGTTCAGCATCTTATTTTAATAGAAAGTGTAAGTTATATATACAACATTTGACTTGGAACAGACTACAAAAAACCCGACGACAAAGCGAAATTAAAAGTAACTTTAGAAAACATTCGTGAACATTGTTTCCTTGAAAATGACAGAGAGTATGTTACAAAACTTTACCATCATGTTCGAACCACTTTCTAAACTAAAAACGTTATATCACTTCTGACAGCGGCAGTTAGAACAGTTTCCGATAAATGAAATAAGAAAAGGCGGGGTCTTCAAGCACTTACTGGAAATCGGTGGTAATTTATTTCTTCTAGTATCATATAAATAAGAGCTAAAGCAATTTACCGACCCCCAATTACTTCGACGAAAGGGTCGAGAAGTTATACCTTTTTAGTCACATTTCCTCTATTTGAAAGTATTAATTACAGTTCGTCAAAATGAATTTGGGCAAATATATTTTGTCAAAGAGTATTTAATGTCAAGAGAATTATTTCTTGGAATGTCCATTACAAATTACCAAGATATAAGATTAACGTGATTTTGTCGTAACTCAACATAAAGGCTGGCGGATAAACTTTTTGGAAAGTTATATTGGGTAATACCAATTCACCGATACTTGTATTTATATCAAACTAATTGTTTTATTACACTTCCGAAATGATACACAGTATATCCGAAGTTGTATTATAGTATACCGGTGGTGCCTAATATTTTATACACTTGTACGTCTATAGTCATCATCTTTAGACGATAATTAAATGACAACAATTAATAAGGCATACAATGCCGTATATTATATTAATTAATTAATTAATCATTCTTAATAACATTATAGACGCGAAAGTTTGTGAGTATGGATGGATAGATGGATGCATGATAATTATTCTTTCAAGTAATAACTACTAAACGGAATTTGATGAAACTTTACAGTAATAAAGTTTCTACATCGGTACCCATAACACATAGGTTATAAATTTCATGCGGGTGAAACCGCGGGCACACCTAGTATATGGCGTATTTAAAGTATAATAAGAAAATAAGGGAAAATTACTAATTTTATCCTCCGGAAAGTATTTTTCTAATTTTGCAACATTATTATTTGAAAGTTCATTCTATTACAATTACTACAATCGTTTTATCGTCAAATATTACTAACAGTATAAACGAGGAAGTTTGTGATTGTGGATGGCTGGATGGATGTTTGATACTTTTTCACGCAAAAACGTAGATTTTAATGAAACTTTACAATAATATACCTCATACATCAGATTAAGACATTGGATATAATAATATTAAATAATAAGAAAAACAATCAGTTTTTGCGGCGTCACGATTTTATGATTTAATTATATGTAAGGATAACAAACATAAAGATAATGGAATTTTATTAAAAGTGTTTGTAACTTTAATGTTGTAAATGGAATTAACAAGATTAATTTAATTTCATACAAGAATTCGGATTGTTGCGAGAAGGAATCTCCAGAATTTTGTAAGTACTTCAAAAGTTGAAATGATTTCATTTCCGGCATATCCGCTTTGTGATTTGATTATAAATCATATAAAATATAGGGGTTTGCATCTTAATTTTCATTACGTTGCTTACGTTAAAGTTTTATTTTAACAAAACCCAACATACAACCCAAAATAGGTTGAAATATGGTACCTATTAGGTAATATCACTATCGAAGACTAATTAGATAAAGTGGCGGGATTTGACTAGTTAAGAATAAACGTAAGAACCAAAAAAGTTTAACCATAATGAAAACACTATATACCTATAAATAGTGAACATGGCACATTTAATACTAACTTCATTTTGGGAAATCGCTTTTAATAATTTTAATTTTAAGTCGATTTTCCAATGTTTCTAATTTATAAGATAATAATACAGTTCCTTCTTTAATTAACTTGTTCGATCTAAACCTGAAGTTAAAATCATTTATGCGTAAATTTCAGTTTATTTTCTGCGTATGTTTCAATCAAAAGACTATGAATTCCACTTCGTTATCGAATAAACAGATGGTGATAAGTAGGTGTGTGTAATAAAATTCGAAAATGGCCGTATCTGGCAAGATTAAATAATTGGAAAAGAGACATGACATCGTAGACCTCTAATAGCTACGCATGAGTATTATCATGATATCACCCGTGCGTATCACATTATCATGTGATGCCCATATCCGTGATGTGATGTCTGTATTCTGTAGTATTGTACAAATATATGTATATATGCGGCAATTAAGGGGAAAGAATAATACTCTAGAGATTACAAATTCAATTGTATTATTAATTCCTTTTCGGAATTGCAAATTTCAATCTCTCTATGGTATACAGAGAGGTTCAGTTGTAATAATAAAGAGAATTTCTTTCGATTTTTGTTTTATGGTGTAACATTTCTTGCTTCTGAAAGATATAACTAATCATGTTTCGCGCATTTTACGCTTTTTTTAGTTCAACTGCTGCTTCAATACAGACTGACAGTTGTTCTAAGACAATATATAATGACTTTTTTTTAAATAATAACCCACAAAATATGCACCTTTTAAAACTTAGAAAACTTGTTCTACACATATTAAGTATATACATTATATTATACAACATTTGAAGCATATATAAGTTATTCGAAAAATACAATTTAAACAATTTAAGATTCTATCGCATTATTATTTCTAAAACATGCATCCTAAACTACCAGAGAATATACGATGTGATGATATTACTCTTTATTATTAAAATGTAATATTTTAATACATTTCTAAATGTTCTGTTATATTTGGCTTAATTTTAAAGCATTGAAAGTGATAAATAAAAACTTCATTCCTATTAAATTTGATATTTTATTGACATCATTAATTGCTTTTGGTGCTCACGGTACCTAGTTGTTCAACCTCAATATTGAATAGAATATACACAGGCAATACGAATATATTTGTAGTTTGAGTTAAGCGAATAATTCATTAATTTGTTTTGTCAGTGATGGATCGGATATATGGATAGAAGATGCCTCTTCTAATAATATTTATCACTATTAGTTTGTAGTTAGATATAACTTACTACTTTGTAATTTATGTATGTTTGTAATATTGAATGAATCATTACTTTAAAAACATTGCGATGCTCCTCTGTAGATGTTGTGCTTAAAAGTTTTGATCGTAATAATGTAATCGTGGTTTTATACCATTAAAACTGAGGTTTATACCATTAACACATATTTCAGGTGACAGTCGAATGAACCGTCCTGTCGACCTATTTGATTCACTTTAGATTATTTTTTTATTTATTGGAATGTCAAATAAGATGACGAGTCAGCTATGGTAAGCCGTCGTCTTTACACATGCACATTACTACGGACATCAGGTTATTATGTGTCACCCGAAATACCACTCATGCGTTGACATTCCAGTGGATTCAGATGTCATGCCTCTTATTCTGTAATATCACAGTCTACTCTTACCCCACGACCGATACACATATTACAAAGCAAGCTGCTCTAATCTGACTCTACAACCGAAACAAAGCATGCTTTTTGGTGGCTGAAATAGATGACACTGAGTGTTGCGAACTATTTTGTTATACCTTTTTAATTATCTATGTTTTATATAATATTATATTGTTTTTACATATATGACATAAGTCAAATACAATATTCTACGACCATAGGTGCGTACATATGTTTGCTCTTCGTCTTGGTCTCCATCACACTGAGGTACCCACAAAGACTACATTTTACAGTCTTCCTCTGGTATGCGCCAATCGAGCCGTGTGATCGGTACGATTCGTCCGGGCTGAACTTAATAATGCGAGTGCTAGTCGTAAACTAACAAGTACTTTGAATAAATAAACAACAGTTTTATTTGAGAGTAGGTATGAAAGTAAGATGTAACATTCTGTATTAAGATAAGCTGATTTATTAACTCTGCAAAACTCCTTAGCACGCCAGCTTCATTAATTCTAAAAAAGCCCCGTGAGATGTCTATTTTGCATTATCTCTAATTAAAAACAATGTTATCAGAACATTTAAATGACGTTCATTAAGAAACTTGGATGCTATTTTACATTTTCTAGGTAATAAAGAGCTTTTATTATTATATAAGTTATTAAAGAATCATCAGCTATTAATAATAAGCAGTTATAGTTATAAATTTAATGAGTTATTTTCTTTTAAATTATGTTGAGTCATAAATATAAGCGAAGTTTCTTTTACCAATTTTATAAAATTTTCCATATTCAGAGATCCACGACGAGTTTAAAAATTGTAATAAATATACTGTAGTAATCAATTCTTATATTGTCGCTTACTCTGTAATTTGGTTTATAAGTGTTGCTCGAGAATATTATACTTAGTAAAGTAAGTTCTTGTGGTAATTGAAATGCAACCTAGCTAAAACATTTATGATTATTATTCGAACCTCATGTATATATAAGGAAAAGAAAAGTGAGAACAAAGTGTAATACTTTTCACGACAAATATGTACAATTTAATAAAATTTCGTGAAATACAGTATGGCAATCTAATCAATGCTAATGTTACATATGGTGAAAAAAAAATCAATTAAAATTATGTCATTCTTGCATGTTTAATATTACAGTTTATTATTTACATTAATTAAAGGTCGAATTACAGATATTCTAATCAGATCATATAGTATTACATTTTTTCTACACATGCAACCTGTCATTCTAGCAAATGGTCCGACCATTGGCTGGAAATAAAAATAACATTGAATATGTTAATTCTCTTTTTAAATAAATAACTACAAAAATTTTTAATTTTGAATATAAAATAGACTTACATTTACTTCATGTCTCTCCATAACGTGCAAATATGTGCCAGTTAAGATAGTTCGAATATGGAATTTGTTTTTTAAAATTGAATACCTACAGTAATTTGAATTTGGAATATAATGATAGACTTACCTTAGCTTTATGTCTCTTCAAAACGTGCAAATATGTGCCAGTGATGAAAGTCCTAAGATGTAATTCGTTCTCCCCTTGTAGCGTCAGGAGGAATACGTTATCATCTGTGACCTCCATAGCGTGTATAGGAACGCCAGCAGTCACCGTGCTGAGCAATGTGAAATTTTCCACATTCCAAGTGCAGACGGTTCCGTCTTGTGATCCAGTAACGAGTATTTCGCCATCTTGAATCACTTTTACAGCTGTTACTGGACCGCGGTGATGATCTAATTTTGTTACCTGTTATTTTGATTTATATTTATTGTTAATTATATTAATATGATGTCTATAAGTAATTAAACTATTCTGTAAGCGTCGTGGCCTAGTCACCAAAACATCTTTGCTTGTCAATTTATATTTGATATTAACTCTCCGGTGATGGAAATATTGCTAACAATTCGCGAGTTGCTAGGGTCGCCTGTCACTAAGTTGGATTGAAATATACCCAATAAAACATACGCATATCAAGTGTTACGTTACCCATATTTAAAAAAATTGTACTTACCAAAACACCATCCACTAAAGATGTTACAATAACAGCAGAGTCCTCGCCTCCGCTGATTACTAAGGATCTTTTGACTATTGCAGCCACGCATAAAACAGGCGCTATATGCTCTCTGTACAAAAACAAAAAAAATATATATCATAAAGAGAAAAAAAATGTCTTTTTGTAATGGATGATCTAGAAAAATAAAACGAAATCTATAAATAGATACATTATAAGTAGTGATTTAGATTACATTCCATACAGAAAGCTCCTCGTAATATAGCTAGTATAATCTATACATATAAATAAAATTGGAGTGTCTGTTTGTAATATTGAAATAATTGTTTTTTACTACATGTATATGAATAAATAAGGTATAAGCATTAGAATAACATTGTTTACAATTTTTCTATGTCTGTCTGTTTGTTCCGGATAATCTTTGAAAAGGCTGGACTGATTTTGACGGATTTTTTTTGGCAGGTAGCTGATGTAATAATGAGTAATTTAGGCTACTTTTAGTTAAAAAAAATAAAGTTATAATCCACGCTGACGAAGTCTCGGAAACAGTTATTAATAAAATAAAAATGAAGTCAATATGTATTAAATACAAATACATAATAGTGAAGTATCTGTAAAGAGAAAAATGAATACAGAAAAGTTAAATTCAAGGATCTTATCTGTTGAAGAGCTTCTACCAGTAAACAAAACAGGAATACTGTTGTTCTCATGAGTACCTTTTATTTTTCAGTAAAAGCAATTTGTGTAACTTTATATATAGACAAAACAAATTAATCATTATTAATTATTTATTATTTATTTATTATTAATTAATTAGCAAATATATGAATATTAAAAAATAATACAAACTGATATGCAACAAGCAACATAGGTATATTATCAAAATCTGTTTGTAATTGGAAAAGATATAGCCATACAAAAAACTTTAATACAATGCTAAATTAGAACATTCTTCTTTTTATTCTTAATCTGCACTAATAGATCGTGTCTGGGATCCCTTCTGCTTATAAAACGCTTAAGGCGATGTAGGTGGATAAAGAAGCATGGTTTTAAAACATCCAGACGTTCACTACATACACACTCAAACAAACACACCACTCTCCGATCGATCCTCCGTCCAATCCAAAGAGGTATCGAAATTACGAATGCCCGACCCGAGCCGAAGTTCGAACCCCTGACGGTGTCCTCAGACTAAAGTAGTATGCTAGGCAGGAGTTGGTCATCAACGTCAGGTCTGGAGACCTAAGTTCTTGTACGGGTTTGCAAATTTAAAGGCCAGGTGCGGCCAACAGTGTTAGAGTAGTCAGAAAAAAACACATATATGCGTATGCAACGCACGCACAAACACTAGTTTCTGCATTTGCCTTTAAATTATACTACTAGACTGCAATGTATACTTACAATATTTTAGTTTTTACAGCTAAAGTATGGAGGTCCCACACAATGACAGTTGTGTCTTCCGATCCTGTGAGGAGGTACTGTGACTCCCGGGTCACGCACATGCACAGTATTCTACCGGAATGGCCTGAACAGTCATAAAATTGGATTTTATTACACAGCCCCTCGTAAATTCAATTTCATTGAATGGTCTAACTTTACCAATCGGATTTATATCGATTTGAGGAGAAATAAAAGGTAAAATATATCTTTTTTAATACGAGTTCAAGAACAGTTATAATCGACCATTTAGAGTGAAGAATGTTTTTATATGACGAAGGTAAAGAAGGTAAGAAAAAAATTTAATTGTGTATAATATCTGAAAATTAAAAAATATATTAGGTAAATTTGTATACAATTTTGTCATATGTAGCCCATTCTGTACTCGGCCGATTCCATATTATTTATGTTACATAGGGTAACTTAAAAAAAGAGTCGTGAAGATATTTTGAAAGATATGCAATGAGTACTCATATTATCCTTAACTTCACTGTATGATACAGGCCAAAAACATACGAATAAAATATTTTTAAATGCTGAAGATGAATTTTATCCTGTGGCCATGGCCACAGCTTGTGTGAATTTGGGTAAAAAAAATGTTTTATTCTAATCTTAATATTATTAGAATCCGTCTAAAAGTGTATTGCGTCATAGAGTAAGAAATACCCTCACAAACTTTCATGTTTATAATATTAGTAGGAAAATCAGGTAGCTTCTAAAAGTAAACAAACACAAAAATAATACTCTATTCAATATCAGTACAGTATTGTATCTACCATGACGCAGAAATTTCTACGTGCAGGTATATTTTCAAAACGAGCGCGAGATTCCATTTACGCCGAGCTGAACTCAGAATTGTGTTTTCTGTTGTTTCTCGTATAGTCTGCACGATTCCATTATTACACACACCTGCAGTCGCGTTCAGAATTGGTATATGTATCTACATTACTATTCTTTTTATTTAAGAGCGTAGTGACGTGTGGTGATGATTTAATGCTCTGTTTTAGACTGATTGTAGGTTGAGAGTTCAAATCTGATGAACACCAAAAAACTTTAACATCTCTAACAAACCATATTAATCCAAGAGAAGGTAACAAGCTCACCGCTTTCGGCATTGGTTTCAAATATGGTATACCCAGAAAAATGTGGGCATGTCGAGTGATATGTTTTTCACTATGTGGACAGTTGACAATACCTCTATCAAAGGTGAATCATATTCAGCTAAATGTTGTTATTTTTTTTTCCACCTAAAACAACTAGTAGCAACAAAGGAACAAACACTGGCATGTTAATTTAAAAAGAGTAAACCAATTTACGAAAAACCAATATCCGATATTAATTGCAATTGAACTGGAAAATTTCAATCTCTTATCTCGTTTGTTTTATTGGTCAATCTCTCCCATCTGGTACCATTTTGATTGTTTCGTGTAATATTATCTATGGAATGGTGCCCCCATGTTGATGTATTAATCTACGTGTGCTGGCAACTGCCAACTATCATTGAAGTAATTTAGTATAATAGGTATATTTAAGTAGTACAAAAAAGTAAATCGTTTATAAATTAGATATTTAGTACTTCGTAAACTTCGTTTTAGCAACTATATAACTCGTATATTACCTAGGGCTATGTTTGTCGTGTTACTACAAACGTTAACCCTTGTTTCACTAATATTTTGTTTATATAGCTGAAATAGAAACAGGGATAAAGTTGACCTTTCTAACGAGATATAAATAGAGGTAAGAAGAAATTAAGATAAATAAAAATATCACCATTCCTGAGGACAATAGTGTCATGCCTCTGTACCCAGTAATTTCACAGTCATACCTCACCCTTCAAACATATTGCTTACATAGCAAGCAGCTTGTTAGCAGAAATGAACAATGGAACAGTGGTACCCAAACTGATGACTTTTTAATCTGCTATAATAATAGTAGGTGTTTAAAAAATAATATAAACAGGAAATTACCTTTGAAAGTATGTACTCTTGAATTGGACATAACATGCCACAGCTGTGGGTCACCGGCAGATGGCGCCAACACGAGGTGTTGACCGGAAGGTGCAAGTTGCAGCAATCGTGCGCCAGCTCCTGGAGTGGATCCACCCACTGATACTACGCGAACCGTTGATGCTATCGGTGGTTGAAGCCTGTCAAATATCTCAAAGTTTGAATAAAGTAACATAAAAATTTATTCACGACTATTTGTACACGGCCGTTACATAAAAAAAGAGAGATGGGGATAGGGGACATCTGTTTTAGTGGATAATAATGATATGAGGCATCCGCCTGTATCTACGATGGTTCTATGATGAGAAAGAAGTCAGGTTAGTTTCGAAATCTATTCGCCACGTTAGCTCATCTAACTGACCTGCCTTGATTCTTATCCTATCATATGTTTAGCAGTAGTCAATTCAGTGGCTGAAATTAATATGAAAATTGTAATAAGTATTCATATTTTTTAATATAATTCAATCATAAATTAATGATTTACAATAATTAATAAACTTTTATTTGTATTTGCTATTTTGCTCGTTTATTTTATTATGTACAAGTTTAGGTACTTTTTCTAACTTTGTAAATCTTAATGGCTATGAGTTATGAGGTAGTAAAATTGATATATATATATAAACATCACGACACAATGTTTATATGGCATAAACCAAGAAACTACAAAGAACAACCAAACTATACTTTAGTTTGGTCGTTGTTTGTACTTTTTTGCTTTTTATGAAATAATTTGATCCACTTTAAAATACTCATTATACGGCAGCTTTTATTGACGTAATTGTTAAAAAGAAAAAGAATAATAGAAATACAGCTAGTTCTAAAACATTGATTTAATTTCAGAAAAGTCGAATTTCAGTTTATATACATCTATGGTTTGTATCCTATAATTATATAGTTACTGAAAGAAGTATACAATCGATTTGTGCACTGGACCGCGTAGCGTCCTGTACTTTCCTGTTTCACTCCAACGCTTCCCTGCACATTCATCACGGATAGAGATATCACGAGAAAGTTAATGGGACAGATAAACACAATGATTAGTTGCTTAATTAACACGAAATCCTATCGAATCCCTGGGAACGTTTAACGGATTATTTGCGGTTCCCGATACGTTGTATGTTTTATCTACGGTACGTGACTCTTTATTTATTGGTACTCTTTTCACTCGGTGTAGAATTGGATACGTTTTGTTTTGGATAAACGTTGTTTAATAATGGAGAAATTTCTTTTTGTAGTAATTTTATTTAATTTGGTTTTGCTAAAAATAGACGAGTACCTACTCGTATCCCGATTATAATGAAACAACCTCAAAATGTTACGGGGACATAAGTGACAATCATAAATTGTAATATGTAAACCGGAATTTTTTCAAAGATGTAATATATATTATTTGTTTCGTACGTCATATACATCTTATTTCTATTAATGCACCGCCAGAAATCTATTTCTGCACCACTCATGGTTGCCTGGTAGATAACGCCACAGATATTAAGTCCACTATATGTACGTTATGTGCATTACAGGTAAATAAATATGATTCGTAATAAACTTTTATATCCCTTTCACATTTTTTTAGGAAAAAATAAAGATTCAATTACGTATTTGCTACATACCAGTATCCAACGTGTCCAACATCCCTTTCCCTTCACTTCAAATTCTTTCACCGTTACAAGATTTCGAAGATTTGCAACGCTTGGCCGGTTAAACCAATAAATTCGTTTTTAAACGAAAGCTAACTCTATCTTCTCAATCCCAATTTAGAATAGGCACCGGATATTTTTTTACTAGTTTTATCCGATACTTTGTTTGATTAAAAGGGCTTAAATGTAATCAATGTTCCTACGCATATTACAGATAATTATAAAAAATACGAAGCAAAGAAATTCTATTATCTTATTTATAATTAATAATAATATTCTTTTCTTAAACACTGTAATATAGTGACTGTAATATTATACATAATACAATAATCTATATAGTAATACGTGAAGAAAAAACTTTGAACCCATTTCAACTTTAGTAATTGAACATTACATTAATATTTAAATTAAAGATGGCCGAATTTCTACCACTGAGTAACTACTAGTATTAATGATTAAAAAACAAACACTTAAAATTGTAACAAGTAAAACTTCAAGAAATAGATCAACAGTATTTATAACACAATCGATTCTTAGCAGGCATAAGTTCTGTACATGTTTTATGGAATTATTTTTGGATCATAATACTAGGCGCTGGGCGCAGCTAAAGTGAGAACCACAAGGTTTGCTAGAATATCTATTTATGTACGTAAAAACGAGAACCTGAAATAGTCAAGAGCAAATTAAAGACACAGACTTTACAGTGGAGGATTGGAGATATTTACAAACAGCAATTTTATATACTAGTTGTCGCCTAGTGGTCGAAATGCGGCCATAATTCATTTAAATTATAAGTTTAAACATTATTGTAGAACTTTAATAATGATGTGAGACTATAATTCTATAATAACAAACAAAATAGTATATATGGGCGTGTGTGTCAATTGCATGGTAGTGTGTGTCATGTTCTTTTATTGGTTTAATGTATATTTCATGCATAAAAAATATATTAGCATTCTGCTTTCTTTCTCAACATATTATATATAAAGTGTGCGAAATTTCATACATCTCCGTCAGCGCAATTTACGAAAAAAGGGGTACAAAGTTTTTGCTTCACTTATTAATATTATGATAATAAGTATTTAGTAGTGAAAGTAGTTCTGAACCAATTAATTGTGGACGTGAACACTGCAATGTAGCATACGTATAATTAAATTATTTGAATTTCTCAAAATTATGTTTATTTGCTTGCGCGTGAATATATATATGCTATAAAAATTAAAATTAAAATATTGGTTAGGAAGTTGATATACATATTGTTAAACACATAATTATAGTACAACGCAATAACACTAATGTTAAATATAAATTAAACTTTTTTATAGAATAATTAATATGTTAATGCACGAGAAAATGCATTGTATTTAATTAGAAATAGTACATATTTAACTACACATAATTAATTTAAGATTTCGTCCTATAATTTTAAGTTGAGAATTAATTTCTTTCTATTATTTTCATTCCTTACCACAATATATTTCTACTTTCAAACACACCATTGTCTAAGTTAAAACACCTAATACCATATTGCTATAAATCAATTAATGAATGAACAAACTGTAATCAATTAATTACTTCCAAACTGAAATACTTTACGCAATTGAGCACTTAATTATAATAGATCGACTTATAGACTTTTCCCAATTCCCACGTGAAGGTTAGGTAATTAGTTAAAGTATTAAACAGAGGTATTTACACTAGAGCAGGTGCGGCCAAAGTTGGTTTTCCCCGAGTGCCTGTAAGGTCGGCAAATTGAATAAAATTGAACAACAGGATTAACAATATTGATCCCTGCTTGAACTCGGCATTTGTTCACTTCGTGCACGCTAATTGATCAATTTGGCTGTTAGTTTAGATCGACGAGGGCAGATGGTCGTCGAGAAAACTGTTCCAAAAGTTTGTGTTGTAAGTGTTGTAAATACACATATTCTAAGACAAAACTAAGTCTCTTGTGTATTAGGTGTATTTACTATATATTCTAAATTAAATTTCATAGTTAATATTTAGTAATAATATTCAACAATTTATACAATATACTTATGTGTTTCAGCTATATATATATATATGTTTATATAGTATGAAAGTATACGCAGCGTCGTGGCACTTCGTCATGGCATATGCTGAGCGGAATCCTTTTTGACACCACACATTAGTGTTGCAATTGTGTTTAATAGACTTTCTTTTTTGTTTTTTATTATTGCATACGTGTAAGTAATAAACATATTTTTTTTTCTTTCTTTGCTAGTCTCTAAGATACTTTCAATTTAAATGTACAAACCGAAATGTGGATTTCTTAAGTATTGTGGTCAACGATCACAGTTTACAATTTCTCAGATGACCCCGTCTGGGATAGTATTCGTAAAAGGTGTATTATAATAGTTTACTTACCATCCATTAAGAGGAACGAGTAGTGGTTTGTCGTAGCCGTCACACCAGGCCATCGCGGATGTGACCAACGTGGCGAGTACACCACGCCGCGCCACAGCAGGTCGTAGCCAAGCTATTATCTGGATAATAATTATTTATATATTAACTTCAATGCACACGATATAAAATAATAATATTATATTGAACTACGCGGCTGTAACATGTCTGAACCAGGTGTGACTTTGTACCAAGTCTACGTATTCATCCAGTACCGCGTCATTCTTTATATGATCTTTGTTATTTTCATCTGCTACGATAAATACTTCTAATTCTGTATTCGATCTTTGTATAAAAAATTGGTTTAGAGTTACTTCACATTAGTATTTCAACGCAGACTATTCGAGTCAGTACTGCATGAGGTTTGAAACTCCCGTTTCAAGGCTTTCTCCATACAAAGAAAACATATCCTATCCTATATCATAGCAACATACCCTAGAAATGTTATCCTGTATATATATATCTAGGGATAACATTGAATGTTTAGTAGGTATATCCATATTTTTTATATTATTGTATGTTAGATTAAGTCAAATCAAAAATAATTTATTCATGAGAATTACTAACAGATGTATGCTTTAATACTGCGGCGTAGCATGTGCTACGCGACGCTAATATTGCGCGTATGTTCCAAATTTAAATGGGTTAATTAAATTTCAGTGGCTTAACGTTTAATTCAATTTAAAACACAGATACAATTTTAATTGTTAGGTTTTATCTACTGACTAGGCACATTGAAAATTTTAATATGTGAATGGTGTAATATATGTTCACATGTATATAGGAAACTGCAAATGAGCGTACATCAATCCACTCAATTGAAGGCTTTGAAGGTGCCTAAATTTCAGCAGTTCCCGACATTTTCATTGAACAAAAGCCTATTCAAACCCGTTAAAGACTTTATAGCATTTGCTGACATCGAAAGTCTTATTGATTGATATCGAGACTTAACTTGGTTTTATGAGAAATTGGATTTCACGGAGAGTGATTTCGTTTAGCAAAATATCGTTTCAAGTCTTAGATGTACAAGTAAATAACTTTGAATTATATAATAATGTAACGTTTTTTTTCTTTCATGTTCTTGCAAGGAAGCATTTGCTGTTATCTTTAGGAACTTATGTCAGTAAAACAGAAGTGAGATATTTCTAGATTTTTATCTAGTCGACTGACATTAATATACGTAGTGATAAATTAGAAATTTTTAATTCAATTAATTACGCTACGTAAATCTCTCTTTTTTTTAATATATTATATTTACTTCGAAATCTAAGAAATTCAAACTTGCGTCTGCGGTAGCTATAGTAAATCCTTTAATACTGTCTTTTAACTTTATTAATAGATCAATTCTAACTTTACAAGTACAGTATATATATTACAAGTAATGCAGTTTGCATGCAGTTTAGTCAGTACATTTAAATAGGTTTAATTGCACATATTGAAATTATATTATATTATTTATTATTATTAGATAATATATTTACGTCTACTTTTTAATGTAAGAAAACTTGGGTCTGCGGTAGCTGTAGTAAAAGAGACCATCTTTTGACTCTATCAATATATTAATTCTAACATTTACATTACAAGTAATACAGCCTGCTCAGTATATTCGGGTGATTGATATTCAATTACATTACGTATATTGAAATTATTATAAATATTTTATTACAAATGAAAGTGTAAAAGAAAAATAACAACAGTAAAATAAAAAATATATAGCTCTTAAAATATATATAAATAGGTTCAAGTTTCAACAATTACAGGGTTTATATATCTAAGTGTACTTTTCCAGTCAATTCCGATAATAAGAATGAGCTCAAAGTTACTTACAAGTTTAATTTTGTTTTGCGAAATAAAAGCCTGTAAAAATTTTGTATTGTGTAAGTAAATTGGTTGGGTAGATAATTTGTTGGTTACTGTTGATCTGAACTGTAAATATTGGTTTTCCTTTTTATACATTGTTTTGAAATGTTAATAAATGAATCATAATTATAGGTATTTTTAATATAAACCTCAAAGTTTTGGAAACAAAATTCTTCGTCGTTTTAATTCTCAGGATAGATCTTATTCTCAATACATGAGGCACAAGCGGCATAATATCTTCTTCTCCTTCTTAATCTACTTCTCAAGGCTGAGGGTCGCTGACCTCCACGAATGCTTATTCCAACTAATACTCTCCAGTCATCTCTATTTTGTGCCAAGTGGATCATTGACTGTATTTATAGCTTCACAGCCAATTGTGATGGCATCAGTCTATCGCGCAGGCCCTACCTGTACCCCTTCTCCGTACACTCGATTTACTATACATTTTTCCGAATTATATTTAATTATTTTACGATACTCAGTTATTCCAATATAGACGCATAATATATTGTGCGGTCAAAGTTTTTTTTTATACCAAAATAAAAATTAGCGTCACAGAAGCTTATTATGAATAAAATGAAGTCGCTCCGTTATCTATTCGCTCAGATTTTAAACTACGCAACAGAGAGAGTGTTTCAAAAGAATGGTATATTTGTATAATACATGTACACCCATGCGAAGTTCAGGCGGGTAGCTAGTATACTATAATACAAGCCTCATACATACGTATTTCTTAGGAATAAATTATTATGCCTCCAACTATTAGAATGACTGTCATGTCTCACCTTGAAGTCGGAACATAAATGATATAGAATAAAAGTATCTAAATAAACATAGCACCTACCTGAGCACCTAGTTGCATGGGATCCCTTGTTAGTATATCGCTGGCTTTCCTCACAGCGCCATACACCAGTTCCACATCACGATCTAAGATGTAACATCTCACATGCTCCAAAATGCATCGGAGATACGATATTGTTACAGTTTGGACCTGAGTACAATACAGATTAAACCAAAATTATTCTTAGATGCACCCTCGACATAGTTTTCTACTACTACTACTAGTAAACTCTCTCAAATGTATCCTGTGTATTTAATAAAAATGTAAGAATACCAAGACAAATCATACCATAATGCCATCTAGTCCGAAGCTAAGCAGAGCTTGTGTTTTGGGTACAAGACAACCGATGCAAATACATAGACACATTTTTTTAAAATACATACATAATATACATAGAAAAATACCCAGACTGATACAAACAATCATACAAATGAATTCAAATGTTTGTACTGTGCGAGGATCGAAGCCCCAACCATCGAAAGTAAAGCGGTATGCAAAACCGCTAGACTACGAGTCCGACGAGAATAACTGTACATTTGTAAAATTGGTGTCTATAATTATTCTTAGAACGCATATACTGGGGTACTATTGGTACCTATTTGGTATGAATATGGATATGTAAGAAGACAAATGTATAAAAATAACAGATAATAAATTAATAGAAATAAAAAAAATGTGCAAACTTATTGCAGCAATTTTTAATAAAGATATTAGTTCTATTTTATTAGTATTAAAAATTATAAACACCTCAAACTCCGCAATTGTAACAATGAACATAAAACTAAACAACGTTTTAATGTTAAATATTACCTTCCTATATGCAAGAGGTATTACATGAACAGATGTGATCATTTAGTGGTAGGTACAGCTACAATAATGGCCACGATCTATCACCGAGTGACAGTTCATAGTTCATATCGACAGGGAATTCACATCTAGCGTTAGGGTGAAACGTGAACAAATGACAGCTAAAACTTGTTACAGTATCTTTATCGATAAAAGTTTATTCATATAAACAAATAACGCTAATATAAGTAGAAATTAATTTAAGTTGAAATTTTTATTTTATATTTTTATCTTTCTGAATTGTAGTTAGGTAATAGTACATTCAGCACAGCTTTCATAGTTAAATATCAGTGTTTTACTCCTTTTGATATTCCCCATATAGAAATTTACACAGCGTTATCTAGTCCTAAGCTAAGCAGAGCTTGTGTTATTGGTACTTAACAGCTATTAGAAATATACAAAATTATATCTTTTGTGAATACATGCATAATATTAAGAAGAATTAAATAATATATTTAAACCCATATAAATTAAATTATATACAAAACATCTAGATCAATACAAACAATAATACAAAAGTTTGCATTGTGCGAGGAATTGAACCCGCAACCACTTGTCAAAACCTAGAGGTTCGTGTGTCTTAAATATTTTTTTAATTTAAGAAATTTTTAATTTCAGTTTATTGTTTGTATCTTATATTTATATAGTTAAACTTACCAATAAAATTTGGCTATTTAACATTAATAACATAACGTAGTTGACATACAATAAATCACTAAAAATTAAACTCAAAATGATTGAGCTCTATTTTCAAGAAATTAAATAGAAAAATCAGACTCTCTACAAAATATTAACATTCTTGGTAAATGATAAAATTATACACGAAATTTCGATCAAGTTGATAGAAAACAAAAATCCTTCAACAAATCTGTTCATCACTAAACACCAGGCTTTATACTCTCCATAATACTAAAGACGAACAAATAAGTGGCGTAATATCGTCAGATAGATGGTGATTTCGCTGGGGAATCACGACCCTCAGTAATGAAGAATACGACGCGAGGAAGTTTGATTTCTCAATAGAATATCCCAAATTTCGTCTTTATGAGCGTACAGTGACGGATTTTTATTATTATTAAGCCACCATTTTTTAGATTCGACTTGGTTTAGGTGAGTACGTATTGATAGACAGATATAATACATAGTATATTTCCTTGTCCATGATAAATTCTACGTATAACGTATATATATATGAATATAGTATTTATAGTTACTTAACCATAGGCATATCAGAATACTAAACGTTGTTTTTACTTGCAATTTATTTATAGTATATGTATCATTAAATACTGGGTAAAGGCTAAAGGACTTGGTTTAATTTATTAAGAATTTGGCATGAAGATGGATAATGATTGAATACCTATCTAATACTGAAATCCAAACAACAAAGTAATAAATATATTTAAAAATAACTTATATAACGATTTTATACGCTCGACATGGTATAAATTTCTATATGAAATATTTTCTATATCAGACTCTAGTAAGAAACACAACATGAACAAGCAAGATTTTAAACTACTACCTTTTTACAACTACAATACATAATTATATCAATGCACTTGAGTATTATACAGCTGTACAAAATAAGAATCGGAAAATAGTGCCAGAATCTAGATCACTTCTACTACACATTTTTAGGGTCATTGAATTTAAAACAGTTTTGCTCTATACCGTCTGAATTTTTCGTTACAAAAACCCTGTATACTCACTGATAACCCAGGAATTTAATAAGCATAAATTAAATAATGCTAAATTTATTGGCGTTGCATTGTTTTATTTTTAGAACTCTGTTCTTAAGCCTACTTCCTAGTTCCAACTTTATCAGTTCATTATCATAATATCCTATTGAAGACCGACTTACAGTGTACTCGTATGTAAAATTGCAGTTTGATAGAATGCCAGTGCTTGTAAAACAGATCAGCCACAAGTGAACTGGGATGACGCGTTTAATAATATCTATATACATACATAAACCTATGCCTGACTGTAGGTTATTAAAAAAAATGAAATGTGAAAACGGAAAGAGACAAAGTTTATTTGTGTCGTATAGTGTCTTCTAAAGACTATCAATTAGAAGGTTATAATGTAATATTAATGTTCGCTATTTTGTATACTAGGTAAGATTTTGTATCATTTCATTATTAATAAATATAACAGAAACAGCTAGATATAAATTTCTTGAGAAAAAAGGACTGAATTTAGTAACAGTATTAAAAATATATACGTAAAGTAATATTACTCCATTTGATTTAGAACCCAATTTACACGTCAAAATAGGTTTTCTGTTTCAGAAACAATCTCATTTGTTTTTAAAACGAAATCAAAGAACAAATCAATCTCGTAACACAACAATGAAATAAAATAAAACTAATTCCATTCGGAGAACGACTCAGTTTTTGTTGGCATTTGAATGGAAATGTTCAGTTTATTATTGTAATGTTATACACTAATTGGTTTTAATTCGAACTACTACAATGTTTCCTTTCATTTGCCAATACCAACAAAAACCGAGCCGTGCTCCAAATGGGGATATCTTCATTCCACTTTTTCCCTTATCTCGTTTTTCCTAACTTCTATTAGTGGTCCTCGTTACATCATTACATTTGTAGGATTTAGTGGATAACTAACAAAAACAAATGGCGACTGTTTCAAGATCCCCTTAATTGCAATTACAAATTAGCCGTGTAATAAATAGCCAGCGCTAAGAGGAGTATATTTTGATGAATTCTTTGCTTATGTACAGACCTCTTGTAATTAATTTTCAAGCAATTTGCGAAAAGAGGATATTGTTATTTCCTTTGTTTATTTTTGTATGTACATGTCACATGATAACGTAATTTTGTCAACAAATTTTTTAAGTTTATTTACGTTATTTATCCTGTACAGGATTCTTCGGTTTGTATCATGCAAGTAATATCATTTTTAAAAGTCTAATTTAAACAAAAATCAAACTATAGTTAATAATATATGTATTGCAACTTCTTCTTCTTCGTTTCAACGGCAACCAAATACATATATTTAAATATATTTTCCCCAGAACGCCGCGACAACCCTTGCGCACTCCGTCGCATCCCTTAGGTCCCCCCTTGTGCAGATTGCTGGGCACAAAGGACAAGCCAGCAGGTGTGCCATGGTCTGGGATGGCGCTCCGCAGTCACAAGCCTCCCTTGAAGCGGCACCCCACTTTACCAAGTTGTACCTGCAGCGGCCCATCTGGGTTCGTAGTCTGTTGAGCGATTTCCAAATGGGCCATTGCAGGTCGCTACCTGGGGGCAGGTGTTCGATTGGTTGAATAAAGTCCAAAGGAGCAGGATGATTCAACTTCCATAAGTTTACTTTGGCTTTATGTGGGTCGTTGGTCAAGGCACTTGTCCCTCTTAAAAAACTCTTCCTGCTTTTTAAGCGGACATCGGGAATAGTGTGGTTATGAAGTGGGTGGCGGGAATCGGTTTCTTGTCTCCTTTTTTCCATCTCGCACAACACCTGTCGTCGAACATCTGGTGGAGCAATTCCTGTGAGTGGATACAGCATATTTAGGGGTGTTGGTTTGAGGCAGCCCGTTATAATACGACATGTCTCATTGAGAGCAATGTCGACCTCTTTCGCGTGGGTGGACCGATGCCACACTGGACATGCATATTCACCCACGGAGAAAGCCAATGCCAGGCCAGACACACGTAGGACATGCGGCGCCGCGCCCCAGGACGTGGATGTTAAACACCGCAATAGATTGTTCCGTGTTCCTATCTTTTTTTTTGTGTTGAGGCAATGAGCTTTGTAGGTGAGGGACCTATCTAGGGTAACACCCAGGTACCTAGGGTTAGGAGAGTGTTCAATCGGTATGCCTCGCCATGAGATGCTCAGCTTACGGTTCGCTTGTCGGTTCCGCAGATGGAAAGCGCAGGACTGCGTTTTAGACGGATTGGGTCTGAGAGAATTGTCGTCATAATATTTGTCTAAACTTTGGAGAGCACCTTGCAACCTCCGTTCGGCTTCTTCGAAGGTTTTTGTTTGGGCCGCCAATGCTAGGTCGTCGGCATATAGGAAGTGCTTAGTGTCTGTTAATATTGGTTGGTCGTTTGTGTATATATTAAAGAGCAGTGGGGCCAGAACACTACCCTGGGGTAAGCCGTTTTTTTGGTAGCGCCACCTACTTTTATGGTGGTGTAGGTGAACTTGAAATCTACGGTTATTTAAAATTTCGCGCAAGAGTTTTGTGAAACCCCAGTCGTTAATTAAATTATTAACTTTGTGGAGTAGTCTTCTAATATTGACTGTATCGTACGCTGCTGATAAATCGACAAATACGACACCGGTTATTTGTCCTGTTTCAAAGCCATCTTCAATGTGCTGTGTGAGCTTTAGGGTTTGATTAGAACATGATTTACCGGGTCTGAATCCTGCCTGCTCTGGTATGAGTTTTGGGTCTAGGATAGGAGTAAGACGGTTGAGGAGCATTCTCTCAAAGAGTTTGAATGTGTGGCATAATAAGGATATAGGTCGGTAGCTTTTAGGTTCATTTGGGCATTTGCCGGGTTTAAGAAGTGCCACAACTTTAGCTTTACGCCATGATTTTGGAATATTACTTGTTAGCAAGCATTCGTTAAATAGGTCAAGTAACCATGCAAGTGCCATAGGCCCAAAGTGTTTTATTTGCTCAACTGTCATATCGTCAACCCCAGTAGCCTTTCCATTCTGCATGTTGCCAATGCAGTCGGTGATCTCTAATAAACTAAATGGGTCACTGATAACGTTACTAGCGGTGGGAGATTCGGTTAATTTAGTAGTTCTAGGCAGGCGGTGGAGAGGTTTGCTATTTAGCAAGAGTTGATGAGCAACCTGATTTGCTGTAACTAGTCCTGGATTTGTGGGTTCTGGAGGATCATCAGTCAGTTTTTTAGCTGTAATCCATGCCTTTTTGCTATTATGTATCATGTCCATTTCGGAAACAAGTTTCATCCATTTATTTTTTCGATTCTCTCCAATTTTCCGCATGAGCTCCTCACCAGTTAGCAAAGTTTCTTCTGAAAAGGGATCATTTTTATATAGAGAATGATAACGTGAGAGAAGCTTGGCCGACTCACCACTAACACCAGGGACGTATGATGTTCGACAGCCCCTTGGGATGCTCTGGCGTGAGCAAAACTGAACTATTTTCACAAACTCGTCATAATTATTTGATGTTGGGGTCAAATTTTGTAGTTTGGAGTCTATGCTCGAAGAGAATAATTCCCAGTTAGCCTTTGAAAAGTTAAATCTTGCAACTAACAGGGGTAAACACACTTATATTAATAGTATAGCTCTTAAAATATGATCTCATATGACAGAACAGAGATAACAGAATAACTATGCCCATACTTACAGCAGCAAGGAGGAAATCAAAGTTGCAGACAGTTAAGTCTTTCAGCTTTGAAAAGTCACCAGCCAGTAATAGATGAAGCCAGGATTCTTCCACGTGGCGCTGTGTGAACGCAGCGGCAGTTCTACTCCCCGAATGGAATGGAGTCGAGTCCAGCAGAGCATCGTCATCATCCACGCACCCTAGTATGTTAATTTTATAATATTAACCCAGGACATTTCACACAGTGCTATCTAGTCCCAAACTATGCAGAGCTTGTGTTGTGGTTACTAGACAACTGAGACTAGTGTGTCTCAGTGTACTCGACAAGTGCTTTTATTTTGTAAATACGTACATAATAGACATAGAAAACAACCAATCATACTTATGAATACAAATATTTGTACCGCGTGAAGATTCGAACCCGCGACCATCGGAAGTAAATTTAAATCGCTGCACCACCGAGGCCTTCGTTAATAATATGAAAAAGTACTGACCGGGTTCTTGCGTCTCGCTGTTGTCGGTATCGTCGCCATCTTGCAGAAAGCTGGCGAAGTGCAGCGCGGCGAGGTCGGAGTGCGCGTCACGCAGCGCGCTCTGCACGCGCACATAGCGGCGCCTAGCACGTGCACCCGCTGCTCCCGCACGCCACCGCCACGTGCTCCGCCCAGACACCACCATGCAGCTTATCAAGCCCTCTGAACATACATACACAATAATATATGTTATTATAAAATTATCGTGTCACAATGTTAGTTACCATACACCTCTGAAACGGATTGACCGATTTTTATGAATTTTTTATTCATATTTAGTACAAGAATCAGCAGGTCTAAGAATCAGCTACTATCTATTTTTCATACCCCTGAGTGATAAGGGTTGTCCACCCCTAACATTTGTTTTTTATTATTTGGGTAAAATTCTTATTTTTTTATAAGATCGTAATAAAAAACATACAACCCTAAATTTTCACCCGGTTATCACCAGCACCTATTTTTTAATAGTGATTTTAATTTATATGGCAAACAACGTTTGCCGGGACAGCTAGTTACGATATATGTAAATGCGTTATGATGGTTACAGGATATATATATAACATATATATAAGGCGGAATCAGCCCGTAATAGAACCGAGTATGTTAAATACGCCCGTATATCATGCGACGTTTTTCAACACGCTTGTGACGAAGCGGATTATAAAAAATCATGATTATTATGATTTTATCACAGTTGTCCTGAATAATCAAAATTAATAGCAACTCATAATATTTTTTGATAATTAGCAGAGTCAAATTAATAAAGTAGGTACATATTTTTTCGGAATTCATTAATGTTAAAAGAACATAAGAAGAGTTTCATTCCATGCTCTCTGAAATTGTCGATTTGTTGCATAATTACTAATTTATAACAGTATAATGTTAGTATTTTATAAAACAAAATGCCTAATGTAAAACATTGGCACGTGTGTAAAAAAAATTATATAGTACAACAATAATATTCATATGGTTATAATTAAACATTAAATGGAAACAATTGCAAGGTAATTTAAGAACTGAATAATAAAAAAACAAATTATTTTTATCAATCCGATATCAAATAAACGCGGATACTGTCTTTTTAATCTGTAGAGAGTAACTGACAAGCATTTGGAGCGGCGTAGATTAAATACTTTTAATTGTTTATATAACAACCCAGATTTAATAAACGTTGAGTTGATAATTAAATTCCATTTTATTTGTAATTCAATAAATAAGAATAATAATTTTGATTTAATTTACCTTTATCGAGGTGAATAAAGTCCTTTGCGTGATTACATGTCTTATTTTACTTCAGCTGCCAAATAGCATACTTTTTAATCGATAGAAAGGTAATACATATATGGAAGAAAAATTAAAGGTATTTTAGTCCTTAGGAATGGCAACGCATGAGGAGTATTACAGCCGCCACTTCTGTAACACTATTCCTGTAGGGCAATGGTTACCACTTACAGTCAGATGGGTTATAGCTAGATTGCCATTTCAGTATCATTATAAAAATAAATAGGTGTTTAAGCTTAAGTAATATATAATACTTACTCATCATATATTTGGCGACACATAAAGTAGAAAAGTTGAAGTTGGCATCTTTTAGAGTTATGACGGCCTCGCTATTACTGGTTGGCATCAATAGTTCCAACAGCTCAAGTTCAGTGAGGCCGAATTCTGAACAAGTTATGTAACCTAAAAATATCCAAGACAAAATTATACTTGCAATTTTTTCATATTACAAATCATAATAATGTTGAAAATAGTTGCGTGGAAGTATTAAACCACAACTTTGTAACATGGAGTTAGAGGTTTATACATATATTTCATACAATTTTAGCATAGTGTATCTTCTTTAGAAGATATGGTGATTATCAGTTTTGAATTTTATAAAAAGCATTAAAGTAATACATACTTGCTAATTTACTAAAGGCTTTAGAACCGAAAAAGACTTCTAAGTTATCGAAGGCACCATCAATATAGTCTCCATAGCTATGATTCTCCGGCGTTTCCTCAATAGCGTCTAATAGATAATAACTGTTTTGAACTTTAAATTTCTCCTTTTGAGCCGGAGTCAACTGCAGTTGATCGAGCGATACCGCACTAGTGCACACTAGGAAAACATTCCTTGGAAGGGACATGGGTAACCATGATAACCCTGTCACAATATCACATTCTAAAGGATTAACTCTATGAACATTATCAATAAAAATCAACAATATCTCATTTTCCATATCCTCGCATCTCCTCAGCAGACTTTGGAACCAATTATTTATATACAAAGGATCGAAACTTGCATCTTTTGGCAAGTAGCCCTCGGGAATGTTCAAGATAATTGATATCTGTTGGCACATAACTCTTAAAAGTTCTAAATTGTAGGCCGATCTTGGAGTGGAAGCGGAAAACCTTATTACTCTCAGTACCGGTTTACCAAAGATTTCTTCGCTCTTAAAATATATATCCGTGAGTAAAGTACTCTTTCCTGAAGCGTCAGGACCGTATATTAAAACTGGTGGATGTCGAGTTCTATTTTCATAATTGTCCTTAGCATTATTTAATATATTCTTAGCGATATCTTCAATTTGTTTTATAGTTACTTTATACATATGATTATGTTCTATACATATCCTAAGATGAGTTATGTGCTCCAGAAATACTTCCTGAAAGAATAAACGTGACATTTCTAAACAACTGTGGCTAGAAAAGACAATCAGATTATATTTATTACATAATTCGATAAGTTGTCTTCTGCAGTCTTAATACATATTAATATTAAACAACTTGCAGAATGCTAAACAAACAGATGCATTTTGTAGCTTGAATTTAGAATAATAACAGCTTAAAAGTATATAGTAAAACATTTCATTATAACTCAAGGTGTGTTGCAAAATCACGATTTAAAAGATTCAGCCTGTAATTTACCTGTACAGTCTTTTTTCTTCCCTTCCCCTGATCGGGTTCGGTACTGAGGCTATCGTCCACCAGCGAACAAATCACAGTTTGCACCTGTTGCCTAAATGGACTTAGTTTTTCATCGTTGTCTGACGGCGCATCTGTTCTTGAAGACTCCGCTGATTGTGATCTAATAACATATAAAAAAATTATTCATTAGTTTTAATTATTCAACTTTGTGAATCATAGTATATAAAGATCTCATAAACCTAATTACCAAAATACATACATACATATATCACAAAAGCACAAATCCATGTAAAATCACACCGCAATTATTATTTAGAGCCTAAAATTGTGTAAACGGCCAAAAATTTTACCTAATTTGCTACAATATATAAAATATGCCTAATAGTATATATATAATATATAGGTGCTATTAGGTATCATTTTATAAGCCGACACAAATACTATATATAATATTGATGTTACTTGGAGTTTGTAATTTAATCGATAAATAATTAAGGTTGATTATTAAATAATCAACCTTAATTACTTATATATATATACATCATATTTTTACGTATAAAAATATAGAAAATTATAATCAACAATAAAAAACCTAGCTATTGCCGCAATTCATATTTACTGTTCCGGTTGAAAAAGTTGTATAACGAAAAACTCTACATTTTGACTGACCTGCACAATATTGCATTGTGTGATACAATACGGAAAAATTACTCATGCAAACTTAGTAAACAGGCAGGAATATTTTTGTTGAAAAATATATGAAAGAATATGTATATTTCAATATACTTTTCACCATTTAATGTGTTTACATATGTAATGTGGAACACGAAAAAAAAAATTAATTGGTAAAATATCACTGTTGCTGACGTAATGGCTATATTGTTTTATACTTCATTGTATTTTCTATTAAGAATTTTATTATATACTACCTGTACTCGCGGTTTCACCCGCGTGAAATTTATAGCCTATATGTTATTCTGATGTATAAGCTATATTACGGTAAAATTTCATCAAAATCCATTCAGTAGTTTTTGCGAAAGAGTAAGAAACATCAATCCATACTCACAAACTTTCGTGTTTATAATATTAAAATAAGATTTTTGTATACCGAATGATTTAGTGTCTAATAAATTATTGAGAGAGACAACAACAATCACAATAATAATTCAAATAGTTGAACGTAACAATACATAGATAGGTAAACTAAATAAGTACTCACTCAAGTTGAACGATATGAGTATCAGGCAACACGTCTTCTAGTTTCTTCTTCAATGCTTTTAATCTAGTATACGCTAAAGCAGATAGCCTTGAGTCGCAAGCCTCTGGTTCTATGATATCTCTGTAGGCTACAATCATTCCTTTTGGATGATTGCCGGTATTCAATAGTTCTGTAAAGTGTATCCGGCGTTATTATCACGAAATTATTTATTAAAATATTCCTGTACGTAGACTTGAAGCAATGTTTATTATGATAAAATATAAATATTCCCCTAATTCTATTAAATTATTAGGTATACGCACAGTTGAGTGATATACATATTTTTTGTAGTTGGTTCGTGATATTGTCTGGTGTTTGGACCTGTAGCACTGCGATCTACATACCTATTGTGCTTGCCCTTCTAAATTAAGAAGATATGCACATTTTAGAAATATAGCTTTTATATTATTTTAGTAGAACTACTGAAAGTTGACTTTATTTGACGAGTCGTTGAAATGAATTATTGGTCACTCTAATTGTATTTTAATGTGTATGAATATAGAGAAGTGAGTTAAATTCATAATACTATTTTCTAGTGAGTCACACTGGAATATCTAGTTTTATATAGTTATGTTATAATTTAAATTATCCAGATTTCAATTACAAAATTCCAATTAAGAAAATATCTTGGAAATATCTTTTATCTATTGGTGCAATCTAAATTAAATTAAACACACCAATTTGAACACTTAAATTAGGTTATATAAAATAATAATGGTAATATTACACGGGGAGAAGATTATTAATCTCTGGTGAAAATATTTCAAATGCTGAAAAGCTTTTGCTTTAATAAAGTAAAGCGGATATAAAAATAAATTAATCTAATATTCAATATAATAATGGATGCTAATATAAAAATATTGAACTGCAAATAGAAAGTTCATCGACATAAGGACTGGACTATTGGAAACGTAAAACTTTTATTAAAGTCATAAAATTATTATCTACGGATATCAGTCATTCCATGTCATAACTTTTATAATAAAAAATAAGGGTCCTCTAACAGATACTTAAAACAAAATAAATTAAATTGGAAAACACATTGTTTACGTTCCATTACTATAACCTCTAATTAAGTTAGTTATAACAGATAATGTAGAGCTATTTGAACTCTTTTGTCATTTACTTTCAAGATACTTCTAACAAAACACTGTAATAGTTGCAAAAGGTATATATTTTCTTATTATCAATAATAACTCTTTATTGCGCACAGATAAACAGAAATAGAAAAAGAATTTTAATATAGATTTATAACCGTTCTTATATATAAGTCTTACCCAATGCTAATTCACACTGGTATTCAACAGGACTTCGTAATAAATCAGCGACATCGGCACCGTTATCCAACGCTTCGAGAGTTAAGCTGTTGAACACTTTCTGAAGTTCATTAAGACGGTTTCTTTCCGCATCCCTCTCGAGCAAGTCACTGAACCTGACAATAATGATTTTAGTTTTAAAAATAGTTTTATTAACGAATCCGTATTTTCTTACGTATTAGACCTCGGTGGTCTAGCAGTTTAGTACACTGCGTTACTTCTGTTGGTCGCGAGTTCGATTTCATGTACGGAACAAACATTTATATTCATAAGTATAATACTTATGAATATAAATGTTTGTTCCGTTTGTTTGTTTATTTGTTTGTATCAGTCTGGTCAATTACAAAATAATGTATTACCTGTCTGCTTACCTTGGGAGATGGCATTGTGTGAATTATCCAGGGGTATTAATAATATTATTATTTTACAGAGGTAGAATTTGCAGAAAGCTGCTGCGTTTATTTACAGTTGTGATCCATATCCATATCCATTTACATCCATTTACATCCATATCTCACTCTTCATAGTATGAAGGGTGAGATATGGATGTAAAAGTATAGATCACGAAGTCATTTTAGTCCATAGGAATGATACATGATTAGTATACCACGGGCTTCCGAATTACCTATTACCTTAACTTAACCTATTTTTTTAAAGACCCGTCGATAGGCGGTAAACACCATTTTTCTTATGGTGGAGATCAGCTTGTGTACAATTGCAGCTAATTATCAAAATGCAATTACATATTATCAACATGGCTCTTGTTACAAGAGCCATGTTAATAGTCATGTTACAGAATTACCCCTAGGCAAATAATTAAAAATAATTATTATATATAAAAATAATATTAATAATTTCGAAAATATATGTAAATTTATGATACTTTCTTGCACTAGACAATTATTTATTACTTAAGTATCCTTAACTTATTTCCAGAAGTATCAAGTTGTGTATTTAAATTTACTTGTAAATTACGTTAAAATTCATTTACAACGATTTACAAAAGTTAAGAGAAAATTGTTATATCCGTAACACATTTAACTAAATGTTTCACGGATATAAGAATTTTCTTTTAACACAGATGTGTTAAAAGAAAATTCTGGCTAGATAGCCAGATGTGTTACGGATATGACTGCTTACTAAGTAGAAAAATTTACAGGCAGTCGAAATTCTACGCAAATTTCTATGCCTTTTATACTAAGGATAACCTTTCGAAATATAATTTATTTACTTATGTATAAGGAAAGAATAGAATAAATTACAAGAAAGGTTTTAATATATATTACAATTATAAACTAAATGCATACTAATGTTTTAAAAGCGAAAATATGAATAATCTCATCATCATCATAAAATATCTAGTCCAAAAAATGTAAAAAGAGACTTTTTACATTTTTTGGACTAGATATTTTAAAGAATTACCATAAATATAAGTAAGTGCATATAACACGATGAACATAGGCTATCTTTTACATCAAAAGAAACCGACGAAGTCAGGCTTAGTAGCTAGTAAAGGTATATTTAAACAGAAACATGCCGCAGCAATTACTTTACGTAGAATCTGGGCAGTTGTTTGAGCAAGTATAATACGCGGTATGCGAAATTTAAATAAAAGTGGATCTACAAATATAAAAGTTAGCGAATAGACTCTTGTTTAGTTAGTAGATGGAAAAATCTTTAAAAATATAGTTGTCAACGATTTTACACTATTTTCTACATGCAATTGTACTTATAATATATATTGTGGGATAAATAAAAAATAGGGTATTTTTTATACAACTGGCATGATGGCAAACATACTGACGGTGGGGCTGATGATAACTAGTAAACATTGCCTATATACCTACATCAAGAAAACCATGGATACCGTCACGGATATCATATGGTGTCCGTAATTCAAGTCAACCTTTGCCATTTCGACATCATGTAATTTTAGTGCTTATCTTACCCTTCAACCGAAATACATTACAAAACAAGCCGCTTGGATGCTGAAATAGGAATTCAATGTAAACGGTAATACCTATATTGAATGTAAACTAGAATATGAGCGTTCCCGTTTGGATCCCTTGTTGTTGTAATAAAAGATTAAGTACAGGTTCTTCAGGTACCTCTAGCCGTGTGAAAGGAATCCCTAGAGAGCTCGATAAATTATTTATTTTACGGTCCCACTGAGTAATCGGCCTGTACTCGTAGGGAGGAACGGTCGTAAATTCTTATAGCCTAATAGATAGGACGAATAAGTATGATCAAAGTCTTCTTCAAGTATTATTGGATAGTAACAGGTGAACCAGAAACTAATAAAAAGGATATCCATCTAAAGAAAATGATTAAGTCGTTCAGAGCGGCGAGCCTATCAGAAGATACGTATTTATAAACTTATGGAGTACGAATTATTAACGAAGAATATTCAATGCAGTTTCACCGTGCTTTACGAATATGTATGTAGAATATATTTTTAACGATGTTTTTTTAGAAATACCAAGTAGTCTAAATTAAAATTATATATTTATATACTATGTACTTGTATATAAATATATAATTTTAAACTTCTATCTTTAATATCCGTTATACACAATTATGTCTAATGATACCTACTTATTGTGATTTTATAGTCCTAAATACTGAAACACTACTGGCATCATGTAAGTAACATGATGCCAGTAGTGTTTCAGTATTTAGGACTATAAAATCATTATATTAATAATCATGCTTAATTAAAAAAATGTAATGTAATTTATTTTTTGACAATTCATACAGCGCCGTATAGTCCATGGTAAGCAGAGCTTGTGTTACGAGTACCAGACAATTGATGTAAATACATAGATATATTTTTTTATATACACATACATAATATACATAGAAAACATTCAAACCGATACAATCATACTCATGAATACATTTACAACGAGAAATCGAACTCACGACCATCGGAAATAAACCGCTAGATCAAATTGAATAGCATGAAGTTTTGTAACTTTGCCATGGATAGTAAGTAACTATCCATATAGTAATCCATAAGTAACATCCAAGTAAATATACAAAGTTACAAAACCCATGAACAATATTAGTAGATTTATAACAATAATCTTACCATGTATCGTCACCTTCTAGATGATAAGCCCCATCATCACTCAATCTATAGTGGCCCCGGATGAGCTTCGTTTGCGCAGTATCATTCTTGATGAGTTGTTCAAACTTGTCGCTTGGGATAGATAGTGGTAGCATTGGTTGGTAAGATGCTGTGTCGCCGCCCAGAAAGCACTACGAGAAACATAATTAGTTTACAGGTTATTTATAATTATATAATACTAGCTGACCCTCCGAACTCCGTTCTGCCTCAAAATTAAATAGGTCAAAGGTTTCTTGAAGTTTAGTTATTTATCAGCCATGTGTATGGGAAAATATAATTGTTGTTTTTACTATTTTACATGCAATTTCTTCATATTTTATCACCAGTCAGGTTTAGAACCTTCCCTGGACTTTCACGAATATTTCAAGACTAAAATTGACCAAATCGGTTTAGCTGTTCTCGAGTTTTAGCGAGATTAACGAGCTGCAATTCATTTTTATATATATAGATTTTTATTACCTTCTAAGGTTATATTGCATAGTTAAGTTGTACATAACAGTGCAACTACGTTTGAACATACATATATAATAGTACCACTTGAACTATTATAGAATTATACTGTATCTCAGATATCACATTACTACCCAGGGTTCATCATTTGCCATTTATTACCATTTGTGTCAAATAAACAATAAAAACCACAAAACCAGTAAAACTTAAGTAAATCATTATTTACCGATTACCTATCTATCTTTTTTATTATTATTATTATCTCTCTTCTTATAACTGGAAGAAAGATTTCATTATTGTCCCTTCTATCTATCCTTATATTATATGTTCTTCTAATCTGTGATTTTAAATACTAATGTTATTTTGTATTTATTTAGCCACAAGAATATTCTAAAAATCTGGACCACAGGTGTAAAAAAAGTCTCGTTCTAAAATCTTATAGACGTTAATTTACAAACAGCAATATTATTATCAGCTTTATATTAGTAATGATCAAATTCAAATCCTTACTAACAGTATAAATGCGAAAGTAGATGTTTGTTACGGTTACATGAAAAAATTACTGAACCGATTATCTTGAAATTTTCTACACATGTTCTTGGAGGTAGTAGAATAAACATAAGATACTTTTTATTTAAAAAAAAAACATTTTTTTTTCTTATAAATAACAAAAACATATAATACCAATATTTGCTACTTTGCATCATCTAGCAGCAAATAATGAAGTTATGCGAGCAAAGCCGCGGCTAAAAGCTAGTAAATTATAATATTTGTAATTTATTATAAACTAGTTATATATGACAATAAAATAAATAAAATTCCTAAAATAAAAGTAACCTAATTAACTCCTTATAACATTAGCTATCTGAAAGTCTATAGTTAATCTATAGTTCTAGAAAAATGTTACATCAGAAACGAATTTTTGAATTAAGTACCGTATCTGCTTTCATATAAACAAAACGCCGTTAATTTAATATTGTAAACAGACACTTCAATTTTGTTTATTTATATATACATATATAAATTATAATTACTATTATAATGACTAGAGTATATAATACGACGGCTTTCAGACTTAACCATTGTTACTTGTTATATTATTTATTCCTTTCGAAGTAAGTAAGAAACACAACAACTCTGTGAAGACAAAGCCTTGGCTTCCCTTTATTTAACTTTACAAAATAGAGTAGTCATCAGTTAGCGTAGTAAAAACAAAGTTAAACCATTTAAACCACAATAGTACGACGTTAAATGGTTTGTCTCGTTCATAATGTAGGAAGTAGGTTGTTCTCATTTTATATTGCACCCATAAGAAATGTCGCTGGACAAAGAAAATATTAGTTTGTATAGTTATATTTTAAATTTAAAAGTTAATATGTGGTCCGTGGTAATTGCTGGCCGTATTTAACCAGCACAAGCCATTACCTAATTCCATTGTCCAAAAAAAAACTGATATTATGACTTGAAAACATTATACATAGTTTCTTCTATTTGAATTTGAATTCATGTTGAAGTCTTTTATTTATTAATCTAATGTGGTTTACTTCTCAACAAATAAGAAAGGAGGAGATTCCTAATACTTAACCTCTGATATGTTTTAAATATTAGTAATCGGTCCTTTTAACAAAACATAACAATTTGTTAAAAAGAACAAAGAGTTCTAAATTCAAAATCAGTTAGAACATTTCCGTTATAACATTTGCGCATAAAAATGCCGTAACTTTTCTACGTCCAAGTTCTAACGACTTTTGTATGGAAAATAGATTCATGTTCAACTTTTAAGAACCCATAAAACTTGTTTATTTTCATCTCAAATATACTGTGATATTATACATAATTTACATTGATGTTGTCATTCTATTGATTAGATTTCTTAGTTTACAGTAATAATTATGGTAAAAGTTATTCATTGTTCAAAATGTTACTAATAATTTACAACCTAAATAAGTACGTACCTATTTTTACATAAAGTAACAAGAGTATATATAAAATTTGCACTAACTATAACAAAAAGACTGCAGAAAAGTATAATTATTAAAAGGGGAGAGTGAAATATGCAAGATTATGTGAGGTAATTTCCGGAACCACTGTACCTATTTCAAAAATTGTTTCATAATTTGAAAGATACCTTATGCCAAATCGTTGTACTCTATAATTATTGTATAGTTACGTATGAATAGAAGCTAATAATTATGTACTTTTAATATATAAAAAATTCGTGTCAATGTTTTTTTTTAACTTCTCCGGAACTGCTTGACCGTTTTTATGATTTTTTTGGTGTATATTTGGTAAGTCTGAGAATAGGTTGTAGGCTATTTTTAAACCCCTAAGTAGTTACAGTGGCCATATTGATAAATAATTTATTTTTACATTGGCAACAATGTTTACCGAGTCAGTTAATTAACATGTTATTAAATAAATAACGACTGGAACTTTAATATAAATATATATTACAAATTAATTATTTCAGCTTAATAATTTTATAGTAAAATATAATTTATTTAATACTTTTATAGTATTCTGATATTGTAATTCCGGATAAAACATTGTAATATTTACGTAACCCATGTGGAAATTAAAAATAAAATAAGAAACTTACTCCAAAAAGGAAGTTTCAGCAACTTTACAAAATTACTTTTGTTTTTATCTAAACAAAGGAAAATTGTTTTCTTTCAGTATCCGAATAAAAGAGGTTCCGTTTAGATGTTTCGTGCGTATAAGAGAAAATGATAAATGAATAAAGTTAAAATTGTTTCATATTAGGATATATAATCCTATTAGGATACATACAAGTCTTACACTAAACTACATTTATAGATTCTTACTTATTATTATTATTATTATTAGTATATAAAGTTAAAGTTTGTTGAACGTTGGAACTATTAGTTATGTTTAAAAAAATATATCTTTTATTATTCCTCTAATTCAGAATTTGAGAAAGGTGTACGCTATAACCTTTAGGAGTCGAAAAGAAACAAGTCTGTGGAAATTAAGTAGCGACGACTAACTAATTTATGATTTACTATACCTAATTTAATTTCAATAATATATAATTTATATAACCATCACGTCTGTGAATTATAGAGAATTTTTTATATAATAAATATAAAATTTATAATAATACTTATCTAATTGTTAGAATAAACAAATTTTACTTACAAGAAAATATCCCGCTTTAGATGTTTGGTTACAGCAACGAATCTCGTCAAGGTAGTACCGGTGGAGTGCTGGATTTGTTTCATCTCCCCCGTCGGTGCCGTAGTGCATATCCACAAATTCGATCTGGACATAATTGGAAGGTAAATTACTAATAACTGTTAAATGGTTATTCTAGACTGTGTTGATTGTTTGTTAAATATAAGAACAGCTGTTGGTATATTTAAAAAAATATTGTAATATTTTATTATACTATTTGTATACCGGCCAAAAATTTAGAATCTAAGTAATTTACTCTATCATATACGACCCTGTATATTCATAAAGTTCCTGTTTTTTAGTACACAGTCACATAATTTTAATAGTCGTAGTTTAGTAGTAGTAATAGTAGTTATATCAGTCATTATTGTTTTTAATAACAAATAAATTGAAAATGGACTACATGTAACTATTGTATTTAATAATTAAGACGGACTCGTTGTTTCAAGAAGTGCGTATTAATACTAGTAACTTGACTATTTTGGTAGGTGAAGCGAAAGAAATACTATAAACACAAAATATTATGTATGAAGTTTGCTACACTACAGCAGTGAAAACTGTTTTTACATCAGTTAAGTTAGCTAAGATAGATGTGAGATTAGTGCACAAGCTCACACAATTAGAAAAAAAAAATAAACACTGTAGTGCGTTTTTTTGACAATGTAACAGTAGGAGGTGAGTTTTTGTGACATATTGTTGCTATAATTTTATTTCAAGTTACATTCAATTATTAGTATTGTAAATAAGTATAATTTTAATTTCATATTACTTTTCGTAAAATTATTGTATATAATAAAATCACGAAATTTTATGAAAACAAAGGTATAGTCAAGCAAATATTAAAAAAAATATACAAATTATTTTGAGCGCTTTACTTGACTAACGTGCGGAAAATTTGCTCATTGTATTTTGTGAGCATTGTTTTCCGCCCTCCTTTCGCCTAGTAGGTCTGTACGTTGACTCAACAAATTACATTTAATATAAGTATACCTAATGTTTTTATTTTATTTGTGAATCCGCGAAACAAGAATAAAAATCTAAGACATTTGAATAATTTTTATTATTTAAAATTCAGATGAAATGTATATATTTTAACCATAGATGTAATACAGTTATAGATTACATACTATAAAGTTTCGAGTGTGTATGAATAAATTTGCTATTGATTTATTTCATCACCAGGTTTATTTTCTATTGGTAGATAGATAACAAAAGTGTTTAGTAGACTACTGTGTACTTTTTGTAGAAATCCAAAAGATACATATACCCATACCAATACATAGATAGAATCCGTATAATCCAATCCAAATTTGACAATGATGTTGTATATTACTGTTACTTAAAGCAAAATATTTCACAATAGGGATATCTAATCAGATAAATGGATTCCCAGTAAAGGTTTTATAATCTAATGGAACAGAATTGTGTTACATGAATTAAATAGCCCCATAATTGTATAAGAGCCGTGCAGCTTCCAACATTAGTTCCTGCCGACTTTAGAAGGTAATCATATCATCCTATTACTACGAGCGTGGAGTAAATACCGACGGGATTTTGCAAATCCCATAGAAACGACAAATTCTTATTGAGTTCAATATTGTACGAAAGGAAAGTATCTACTTAAATGTATTCAATATTGGAAATTGATACCTTTCTCAGTTATATAGATATGAGTGCATTGTTTGTTAGGCGTATACATATATATATTATATGTAGATTGAATAGATCGATCTATATTAATGTCGATAGACTAGTAAGTTCATTTTGTCATCATTTTGATCATTGTGATGAATTTACACAATTGTTTAAAAAAGAATCATATTCTAATTACCTACGAGAATTTTCATACATTTCATTCTATTACGGTATTATTAATAGCTGGACGTAAAGGACAGGTATAATAAAATTAAATAATAATATAATGGTTTTAAAATTGGGTAAGTCGCATTGAAAAGAAATTCAATCCCCACAACACGAGTGGGTTATACACATACCGCCACGACTGTTATCCGAGATGGGGTAGTGTAGGAGGCATTGTAACCTGTTGAGGTCATGGCAAACGCAACAATTGATAAGCACAAGTTTCGCTTATACTTTGGATATTTTTTTAATTCAACATTACAGGAGCCAGAAATAGAATTTACAGGATTTTTAATGATAACCTGATTTGAGATCACGACCTTAGGCGTAATTCAGAGTGCTAAATCACTACGACGGACGGTATCTATAGGTTATAGAGCATCAAATTATTAAGTAAGGTTCGTAATGATTAAAATAAGGTTGGTCATTTGGATTAGTGTAATCCTAATGACCAAAGTTATTAACGTAATTTTGTTGTGTATTAATAGGAATTAATACTTAAATAACTTAAAATAAAAATAGTCGTTATATTTTTTCAACACATCTTCTAGTTTTTTCTGTATTTGTAGTTCAGAATTAAGTAGAACAATGTTTGAACTACCTTAAGATATGAATTGGGTACATAACGAAAAGGAACATGTCTTAGAAAACAAAAAGTATAGCATATAGCAGAGTGTATGAAAAATAAGAAATGAATATGCTGGTGTCACGCGATATTTTTCACGAAGACATTGAGAAACTAGTAATTATTAGATACTATTTATGATCCTACAATTAAAATAACAAGAGAAAATACTACAACGGGTCTGTATGTGACACGCATATACAATATCTCATTTAAATTTACAATTTCCTTGTAAAGTATGAAAGACACGTCTATTTGACCGTTATATTATTACTACTATTCATGATTGTAGATGCTACGAAATATAATTATTTTTCTATTGTAAGGATTTATTCACAAATTTGTCTGCTAGTGACTGCAATAAATATATTGATGTAGGTGTTTTTGTACTTTTCATTTTGTTATATATGTATATATATTTATATATATATTTTTGTTATTTGAAATTTAATAATAATAAATCCTGATCCCGACCCGACATGATTCATTGATACAATGAAGCCACTCACACGTATTGCTATCAATCTTCCCCCCACCTCCTTCAGTCTATATGTTTGTACATACCTACTTAAGTTCACGACATAAATTAAAACAATGTTAGATGTTAACTCCAACTACAATGCTTCCAAGTTATAATAAACCATCCGGAATACTAAAACTCAAAGTTGTCGCATATCACATAACTTAGGAACTTGTCCCTTTTCGTGCCAGATGTGTAAATGTCATACAAAGTTAGCTGACTGAAGAGTATCTAATACTTTATTGCTTAACGAATACCTCAGTTTATAGGTATATTAAAATAATATTATAGGTCAAAATAATAAGACAACGACACTACGCTAGCAATTTTTAGTCATTTCTTTGTCCATCTTAAAAAAACCTGCTGTAAATATATACAACTTGATGCTTTGATGATTGAATGTGGTTGTACGAATTTCAATGTAATTTAGCATATGTACAAAACAAATTATCTATCTTTGAGGATATAGAAGACAGTTTTTTAAGCTAGATTTACATAATTTGAAGTACCTACTACTTATTCTAAATGAATACTATCAGTATTATTCGGCGCTGCTTACTTGAAATGACTTGAATTCATCTATCTAGGTTATGATCAATCTGTGTATCTTTTTGCTAAAGTGTGATTCAATTACAAACATCTTTACAACATAAGTTTTCACATTGCCTATATTAAGAGCATTACACCTACTAACAGAATATAATTGAATACAAAAACTAAACGAAATTTTATAAAAAAGCAAAGATACCCATTGTAACAAAAACGATTACTGCGCAGCTGTGCATAGATAAATTTGAGGCGGTCTCCCCAAAGTAGCGTTGTCTGTGCAAGCTTTTATCTCTGTATACCATGTTACCGCAAATTGAGTAAATTATGATGGAGCAATTTAACCGCAAACGCAACTAGATTTATGAAGCTAACTATAAAAGTATATCCACTTTCACCCATCCGTTTAATAAATAAGTAATGATGTCTATGTAAATATATTTTAAGAAAGATGTTACAAATGAATGTGGATGGTTATAAGGGCAGAGGAAGGCCGAAAAAGAGATGGATGGACTGTGTGAAAGATGATATAGTAAGAAAGGAAGTAAATAACGCGATGACTGCGAACAGGGATGAATGCAAACGTTTAATATTACGCCGACCCCAAATAAATGGGATAAGGAAGAAGCAGATGATGATGATGATGATGTCTATGTATATAAATATATTGTAACTGACTACAACTGACTACCTGGCTTAGCACAGGAGCAATGGGTGCATTTCATAAAAAAATTACAGCTCACATTCCTTGCCAACAATGTAGTTTCCTATAGGTAAAATTATTTTTAAAATTGTATGTTTTATATATTATAAACAATTTGATATTTTATTACATTCGTTACTTATTAATTGTTATATTATTGCTCGAAAAGTTATGGCACGGTTTCTTGCTGATCTTCGATTTTTATGGAACATTGTTATTTATAATTGTTAGTAATAAATAGTGTCAATAATAGTAATATTTACCAACACTATTTAAGTTTCTAAATTATATACTTTATTTAGTTTTCATAGATACATGGTCACTAATATGTCTCTGAGATGTATAAAGTAGTATTTATAAATACCTATACATATTTTACAAAAATGTATTACTTATCTTAAATCACAATTTTGTTGATGATATATTTTTTTTTATACACTATGTATTAGCATTGTGTAGTTTAAACGGATTAGTTTATTGACGCGAATCCTGAATTCCTGAATCGCGCTCCCTATGTCATTATATAAAATATATTATATGTAAAGTAAAAAATACTAGCAAAATAGTCTCCGAACGTTTGCGAACAATCTGCTTTTCTCCATTCGAGATGAGAAACGAACTAAAAGCACAATAAATCGTATAAAAGCCATGAAGCTAAGCGTTCCAATACGCAAGTTTAGAATACAGCTACGTAATTTAATTTCCCGCCAAATTGTTACTAGTTTAACAGAACACAGATTATAAGTTTTTATTAGTGGCCAGTATTAATTGTGCTGCACAAAGGGTGGAAATATAATATTATTAAAAAAATAAGATCTTATTCTTTGAACCTTGTGTGTAAAAATGAGATAAATATTTTGTTTTATTTCATTAATAATTATAATTTCTGTGTGTATTTTTAGTGTATTTCTGTGTGTATTGTTTTTGGTAATTAAAAATATAAAACGTAAAAATGGGAATAAAATACCTCAATATAGCGATCATCGTATGTTGATTGCAACTCTGGCCCCACCATCTCCAGAATTTGCCGCCTTTCTTCTCGAAAGTCTGAAAATGAACTGAAGTATAAGCTCCGAATATATATAGTTGCATATTTATAGGCTGGCATCACTAGTAGCAAAAATTTATTTTTTATGAATATGTTCAGTCAAAATTTAAAGCCAAATATTAATAAACAAAGTAAAATATATAAAACAATAAATACATAATTGGGTACGTGATTCCAAGTGTGCTAAAAATTTAAGCAAAATACAATTTTTGAAAATAGAATCGTTTCATCCATTTGAAATGTCAACACAATGAGCAAGTAATCACTACGTTTAAGTAATTAGGTCACATGCGACGGTTAATCGCTACAATGGAACTGCCTACAGATTTTTTTTCGTTTGGCTTTAGCTTTTACATTTCCATAAACTGCAATAATAAATCAAACGTAATAAAAAATATCATGAAAAATGTAAAATTTTCTACTACAATACGTAATAATTTATTGTTCTACATTTCGAACTGTAGAGTGCAATGTAAAGTGCAAAATAATTAGATTTATAGCGTAGCCCAGTTATTGCGAGCTGTGCTCAATTAAGGTGATGTAGGTATACAAACTTTATTAATTTTAAATTTATTCTATTAAATTGGATCTGGAACATTATTACATACAAGTTCATTTCAGATACCTTTAATTATTTACCTTGTACCTTTAGGTATTTATTTTAAAATAGCGAAAAATTTAATACTAAACTTGATCACAGAATTGATACCTAATTATAAAAAGCAACATCTATAAAGAACTGGGTATATCTGCTGAAAAGTATTAGATATTTACTCGTTGAACTGTAGGATATTTTTTCAGTAGGTAAATCCTCTTCCACCTGTATAAATAAATAATTACTTAGCGCTAGCAGTATTGAAGATTCCATCGACAATGTGTCTACAATCAAATGTACGAGTAAATCAGCAATTAAGCGCTGAAGAGCTCACGTACCATTGTAGACAGATGCTACGTATATCTTGACAGCGCGAGGCCCTGGCCACTTGTCGCTTAGTTGGGTGTAGCCCTGCAGCGCTTGAAGCACTGAAGGCTCCGGTGCGCTCATAGCGCCCACCCGCTACCTCACCCCGCACTCGTTTTTCCACGCCACGGAACCATTCTGTGGACAAAAATATATAAAATGAGGAGACTACACTTCAGTATGCATTCTACGCACGTTTGTAATAAATGATGTGTTGTACTTTGGGCCTACAATGTTGGCCTATCTTTTTTTTTAAGTAACGAAATACCAGAGGCACATAAATATATCGAATAGATAGTTTTACATAGAATGTATAGTCTAGAAGATATATATTGTAATATGACAAATGAACATACAGTTAGTGATGGAAAGTATTGAATGTTTACAGTAAAATGTGGAATTAATGTATTACTTAACTACTGAACTACTTGCATAAGTTTATGACTGTAATTAGGAGAAGCCTATCAATTAATTTACATTCAACCTTAATCCCCATGTATTTGGACAAAAAATACATATTAATCTAACATATAAACATATGTTAGATTAATATGTATTTTTACTAAGCAAACAAAACTGTTTGCTTAGTTACGTATTTGTTAAGCCCTAATTCATATATTTTTATTAATAATAATATGTTAGGACATTTCATACAGCACCATAGTCATAAGCTAAGCAGAGCTTGTGTTATTTGTATTAGATAACTTATACAAATACATAGATACGTTTTTTTAAATACTCACAGAAACCATCCAGACCGATAAAATAAATGTTAGTACCATATGAAGAATCGAATCCGTGACCATTGGAACTTCCACTTCTATTTGATAATGGTTATTATCGCTTATTTTACAGGTATTATTTTTTTAACAAATATAATATATTGAACGGTTTTTCTTTAATTTTTATTTTTAGACATGTTGGACACCATAATAAAAACTTGTACAAGAAAAGCCAAGTACGCTTACAAAAGCTGTTTCTAATCAAAAGCAACTGGAGGGTGTCCATTATTCGCATTTTATGGCTGCGCACTTACATCAGAGGGCTTGTGAAGATTTATCAGAGGTTCTTAACGCCGTAATGGTGGTAAAACATACGTATTTAGCAGGTATCGTGATAGATTGATGAGGGAGATAACTCCTGATAATGGTAGGGTATAAATGTAGATACTAAATGTAGATCAAGTAAGGAATTAATCTTTTGGAAAACGAACAACTTTATAGTGTTAGTTTAAATATAGTAAAATTAGGGTATTTAGAGGAAATTAAATCTAAAGACGCGTCCCTGATATAAAATATATAATTAAAAGCCTATTTTTTACCATTAGTATTTATTTATACTAGCTGTGATGAATATTTCAAACTACGCCATCAATGGAGTGGGTACCTACTATCAAAATGTAAATCACATTGTAAATATAATCTACGTCATTCTTATGGGTTATTAAGTTATCAAATATGTAAGATCGTATGTGTACAGACATATCTACTCATTTACGAATCTATTGACTGTACTAAATATTTCTTAATAGATTGTAAAGTTAAGTAATAATTTTATTGACATCATATTTGTATCAACCGTGTATTTATAATTATAATTTACATAAATGATCTTTAAATAATTCAAAGTTGTGGTAATAATAACTACTACAAAGCTCATTAATAAGGGAAAATTAATAGTTATTTATTAAAGTCATTATATAACTATCCAACATTCTATTAATTTTAATTTTAATTAGTCAAATCATTATTTAAACAAGAAATTCTCGCATTTTATAATTTAAAATCCTCACTGTTATGAAAGTAACTTGCAGATAATTAAAACTTCAGTACTTACCAATCTACTTCTTCAAATGAGTTAGTTTTAAAACAATTTACTTGCCCTTTCTTTAGCTACTTTTATTAGAAAACATAAACTTGGAAGCTTCTATTTAAAAAAAAAATAACATTCACTGGTGTACCGATAGTGTACATCATTAGCACAAGATGGATCGCTGTTTCATTATTATCTACGAAAAAAAGCTATTTATTTGTATCGCATTCCAAAATCCTGTTTTAGAAATTCGCATTCCAAGTTCCTGTTAGACTTTATAAGTCTAAACTAGAATTATTTTTTTCTTAGATTTGAATAAAAGATGTAGGTACTACAGAAGTGTCATCATCAAATATCAAGTCGTTTGCGTCCTCTGAAATCAGTGAAATTCTGTTATTTCTGTCATGCCTCTTATCATGTGTTAAGATCGTAATCCTCTCAAATAACAACGAAGTGATAACACGAGCGTAATATGATAACGTGATGTCCGTATTGCTGTTCATGAATTTAGGCGACAGTTATCACTTACCAGTTGAAAGGCCGTCAGATTGTTAGCAATTCAAATTACATAAAATAATAATTACATAAGAAATTATGAAAAAATAAAAATGACGGATAAGTTGTTATATTGATAGTAATAGAGGTTAATTAATTATACAAATATGTTTGTATACATATAGCTTTTATTAAAAGCACTCGTCGTTAACAATATTTATGAACTCGTTTAGATTTGAACATAGAATGGCTTTTAATGTAAATCCACAAATAACTCATTCTGCTAAGTTCGCTATTCAGTCTAAATAATTTTAGCTCTAAAGAGCTAATATTAGTTAGTTTACTATCTTTTTTATTAAAATACTAAATTAAGATAAAAACAAGAAAAAACAAAAAGAAAAAATGTACTGATTTTTAATCAATTTCTTTTTTATAGTGGGTATATATATTTATTGGTCTCAAAATTACCAAAGGTATTTTTAATACACATATTTTCATGTTCTTAATAGATTTTCGGCAAGAAGCATACGATGATTACCATTTGATGTTTTGAAATTGTATTTAATATTGTAAAATAACTCAATTTTCCATAGAAATCCGCATTGCTTATAGACGATTAATAGCCGGAATTATCGTAGGGACGTGAATGGAATTAGAATAGTGTCGACATTAGATATTGGGTGTGAATTATTCACCGTCCAAAATTGAGCTCGATAAATTCATGGTCGTAGACTTGGGTTTGGGGGAGACCGAATTACAACTGCTTACGTAGTCTTTTTACTCGACTAAGGAGGATCACGATTTTAGCTATATCTACGTAAGAGCTATTTCTGGGGACAGATTCATGCATCCCCTTATTTTTTTACGTAAAGACGTAATCTGTAGAGATTAAGAGTTTGTTAATAAAAACAGACTTATATAAGAGGTATAATATTAGACTAGGATTAAAATAAGAACGTAAAATTGTGGAATGTACTAGGTGATCACAAATAGCTAAGAATCACTGTCGATGTATGAATAAACCCCCGTGAAATAATTTTAAAGTAAAGATATATTTTAACAATTATATCTACATATGTAACAAATACATAAATAAATAACTCTGGACTATTAACACGGCGCCATCTAGTCCCACAGCAAGCAGAGCTTGTGTTATAGATAGATGATAATAGACAACTGATTAGAACCTAGTAGTCGCGTTTTTATTTTACTTTAATAATTTGGGTAATTGTATAAAATAAAGATTTTTCTGGCAACATGGAATAAACAGTAAAGTAACACCAAAGGCCTCGTAAGCTTTTAGTCTCATACAATAAGACTATTAGCTGCGTCATGCTGGCAAAATTAATAGAGCCAGGTTGGACACGCAACGCCGAGCTTAGCACCGTGTACTATACTTAATTAAATATAAAACATAGTCTTATGATTTGTCCTAATTCTAATGTATAAACATATGCAAAAAAATTTCGAATGTAAGCTATATATTCGAAAATTTGTTGCATATGTTTTGATACGAAAGTTTTAATTTCTTAGATTTATTAAGAGGTAGACTAGAAGTAGACTGTAAAAATTCATCTGCGTGGGTCTATCAGTCTCACATATCTCAGTGGCCAAGCGGCTTCCTTTGTAAGATGCGTAACAGTTGTAGGGTTCGTTTAAACAGTGCAATTCTATAATTTTGTCATGTCTCTGTAACTAATGACATCTTAGTCCTCTGGAATCTGGCAGGAAATGTGTGGTATCACGAATGTGACATGGTAATGTGATATCTATAGTTCCTAGTGTTCTTTATGTAATATATATTACCGCTTACCATCTGGCCGTCAGCTAATTTGCCATTTAAAATACATGAAAAATGGACTTTTATCAAAAAATAATAATGCTAACCTCGTACCATAATCCCAGAGTTAAATCGTCTACTATTGTAAAATGTATATTGAGCTGAACGGTAGGTAGAATACTCATAAAACTGAGTTACTTTCAGTACGGAACAATATGGTAACTACAAAAATAAATAATTCATTTTTCATAATAAATTGATTACGTTAAAGAGTATTTTAAGTACATGAAGGTTTTATAAAAATATGTTCATTTTGCTACTGCTTTACGTTGACTCAGTATTTTCAATACTTTCGATTTGACACCTATATAATTAAAGAAATCTTTTTGTAGAGATAACACAGAATTAGACACAAGAATTCTTTGTTCTTGTATTACGATTAATGTGGTAAGTATGAGTAATGTAATAAATGTTTATTACTACTCATATTTAAACCAATTCAGTACCCATAATTTTTATACATGCTTAAAGATTGTTGTCATTATATCAGTAAGTTCGTAGTATAGTATATTCTGCTAACTGTAGAGAAATACATATATAAGTTACATTTGTTCCAGGCCAATTATAATTCATGGACAAGCAGTAAAAGTCACAGGTTGAAGTTAGTATTTCATAATCAATATTTGAAATGAAAATAGCAGCGTATTTTTATCACGGATGCAGACACATAATATAAATACATCTAAATATATCCCCGTTCCAGACAAGTATGCATTTGAGCGAATAAAATTATGAAAGTTGACGAAGCGAGGGAAATACCTACGTATACGTAATTACGGATATGGGTCGTTAGGATTCGGTTCTTTCTGTCTTGTCTTCTTCATATGAGACGTTAGACGTCGACGATTTATTATAATATATACACAGAATAATTCGTATAAAATTGTTTATTATGATTGATAATAAATAATACTTTAAGTATGTACATTAAGTTCAT